TTGTCTTTCTATGGGCTAAATCGATAAACCTTTTGTTTTAGATGAAAACTTTTTTGATGTTTTTTACGCAGAAGAGAAAGATTGGAAAATACAGGCAGCTGTATGTTAATAGTAGAAATAGAGGTCTTCTAGAAATGTGATGATCTTGGCTCTGATGGCTGGCCGAATTATTCATTTCATTCACCTTCCCAACTATGCTCATCTTATCCACCTGCTTCTACTTCTATATATACGGGATATTAGTCCCTGCCATCGGGGCCAGATTATTGATGATGGTTTTTAACATTCCGTAGTGTTTCTGATTTCCTGATCCTTATCTGTCTCTTATCCACTGACGTGCCCGGTTGTTGTCTTGTCTCAGTGGAGAGAGCAGTTTTTAGCGTTCTGTGGTGTTCCTGATATCCTGACCTGTTCTGCCTCTCAACCCCTGAGCTTGTCTGTTCCTGTCTGAATGGTTCTGCTTGAACTATCTGTGGGCTCCTGGACTTCTGAGCCTCCTGTTCTGATCTGTTTCCCTGATCTGGCTTGGACTCCTGGGGCCCCCGCATGTACTTGGCAGCCCACCGGCTGGATCTTTTAGCCTTTAGCTAATCAACATAGATATGTTTGCAAACTGATATATCTCTATATTTTCAATTATATTCTCTCTATGTTGTATTTGGTGCAGCTTTTTCTCTTTTGAGGGTAAATAGCCAACATTTTTTGTTGATTCAGAGTCAACTGATGGAACAGATATCCCACATTATCATTCCTCATCTAGGATTCCCATCAGCAGCACTGAGACTGCGTTGTCTGATATGAAAAGAGTTATTCATTTGAAATTTGTCAGTGTTAAGCAGGCTCTAACCCAGCAAGATTAATCACGTTAGTGCTGAAGAATGTGGAGAAATGTGCAACTTTATCAGAAACAGAAAACATGTTGGGAAAAGGCAGAAGAGTGGTTCAGCATTATGAGCCATCCTGTCACGTCATATTAAATATTAAAAAGGTTAACTAGATTATTGAAGGTAAAAGGCACTAATGCAGGGGTTCCGAACGTGGGGGTGGGGACTTCTCAGCACTTCTCTCATCTGAACTAACCTCCCCCATACTTTGTAATTCTATTGGGCTAGAAATGCCCCACTCTCCAAATCAGCCACTCAGTCTTGCTTCTAGCCTGCCTGAATGACTAAAACACATGTTCTCCACATCTTTCTCCAGTGATGCCATCCCAGCCCAGTCATAAACAAGATTTTGCCAACATCTAAATTCAAAATTAGTTTAAACTAATTTCCCAAACTTACAAAATTCGTCATTACCAAAATCGCCAAGTTTAAGTTTAGAGAGAAGTTAGAGATTCCATCTATGCTATACTATGATCTGGAGCAGAGTGCGAAATACGGGGGGGTTCGGGGGGGCTCGACCCCCCCCCCCCCCCCCGATTAACCCATGAGCCCCCCTGAAAGCTTCAAAAGCAAAATTTAAAGGGGGTCTTAAATTGTGTCAAAAAAAATTAAAATAAAATGTTCTGGCTCCTTAGGAAGCCACTGCTCATATTTACATATTGTTTCTAAGTTACACTATATTGCCAAAAGTATTTGCTCACCCATCCAAATTATTGGAATCAGGTGTTCCAATCACTTCCATGGCCACAGGTGTATAAATTCAAGCACCTAGGCATGCAGACTGTTTTTACAAACATTTGTGAAAGAATGGTTCGCTCTCAGGAGCTCAGTGAATTCCAGCGTGGAACTGTGATAGGATGCCACCTGTGCAACAAATCCAGTCGTGAAATTTCCTCGCTCCTAAATATTCCACAGTCAACTGTCAGCTGTATTATAAGAAAATGGAAGTGTTTGGGAACGACAGCAACTCAGCCACGAAGTGGTAGGCCACGTAAACTGACGGAGCGGGGTCAGCGGATGCTGACGCGCATAGTGCGAAGAGGTCGCCAACTTTCTGCAGAGTCAATCACTACAGACCTCCAAACTTCATGTGGCCTTCAGATTAGCTCAAGAACAGTGCGCAGAGAGCTTCATGGAATGGGTTTCCTTGGTCGAGCAGCTGCATCCAAGCCATACATCACCAAGTGCAATGCAAAGCGTCGGATGCGGTGGTGTAAAGCACGCCGCCACTGGACTCTAGAGCAGTGGAGACGCGTTCTCTGGAGTGACGAATCGCGCTTCTCCATCTGGCAATCTGATGGACGGGTCTGGGTTTGGCGGTTGCCAGGAGAACGGTACTTGTCTGACTGCATTGTGCCAAGTGTAAAGTTTGGTGGAGGGGGGATTATGGTGTGGGGTTGTTTTTCAGGAGCTGGGCTTGGCCCCTTAGTTCCAGTGAAAGGAACTCTGAATGCTTCAGCATACCAAGACATTTTGGACAATTCCATGCTCCCAACTTTGTGGGAACAGTTTGGAGCTGGCCCCTTCCTCTTCCAACATGACTGTGCACCAGTGCACAAAGCAAGGTCCATAAAGACATGGATGACAGAGTCTGGTGTGGATGAACTTGACTGGCCTGCACAGAGTCCTGACCTCAACCCGATAGAACACCTTTGGGATGAATTAGAGCGGAGACTGAGAGCCAGGCCTTCTCGTCCAACATCAGTGTGCGACCTCACAAATGCGCTTCTGGAAGAATGGTCAAAAATTCCCATAAACACACTCCTAAACCTTGTGGACAGCCTTCCCAGAAGAGTTGAAGCTGTTCTAGCTGCAAAGGGTGGACCGACGTCATATTGAACCCTATGGATTAGGAACGGGATGTCACTTAAGCTCATATGTGAGTCAAGGCAGGTGAGCAAATACTTTTGGCAATATAGTGTATATACTATAAGCTTTCTTATGTATAATCTTTGATATAGTCTTATTTTGAAAGCACCGGAAGTTGAGCAGTTGGTATCTTCCTTTTTAACGAGTAAACGCTGCATAGCTACATCTGTTTTCTCTGTGCTGCGTTTTTGGCCAGTACAGCATCTAAGTTGATGTGAAGGGTGTATTTCGTTTATGTACATATATTACTGTGTTTCATGTTGTGTTTGGAGGTTAATTGCAATATATTAATATACAAATTAGACCCATTTCCATTCGTCAGAAACTGGATTAAAGCAGGACATGTGCGTGCATGAAGGTGAGAGACAGAGAGACAGACAGTCTTTGTGCATGTGTGTGTTTTCATAGACTGACTGCCTGTTCAGGCTCTTGCCCGCTCCACCAGATTCACAGAAAGCTTCATCCACCCAAGCTGTCAAGAAGCTGAGCCCCCCTCAAAAAAAAAATCTCCTGCACTACTATTAATACTATATTTATTTACTGTTCTTTTGCACTGTTACTGTTACAAATGCTATATCTTACATAATTAGTAATAATAATAACTTTTCTGCTGCCATTACCATCTGCCTTTTTGCACTAGCATAAGTATTGCATATTTTATATTATTGTACATTTTATATTTTATTGTGAAATTAAATGTTTAAATTTTAGTATTACGAACAGATCTTATCTGATGTGCCTGTGCACTTTATCTGTTTCACTGCTGGTGAATGAGAAACGAACGTCCTCTCTAGTCCTTGTATGTCTGGTGAATCTGAGGAATTGACATTAAAGCTAACTTTGACTTTGAAATGTTATAGACCTACTGCATATTGAGAAAATTTAGATTGGTATTGCGCAACAATCGGGAAATGGGGACCCCCCAAATATTGACAGGTATTTCACACACTGGTCTGGAGTTACATAAATGGCCAGAAAAAAAATCTTATTAAATTATTGTGTCAGCCTTTAGAGGAAGTGTTTGTTCTGCAATAATTTCCCTTCACTGTCCATAAGAATATTTACAGTTTCTACATGAAAAATATGCTGTTTTTTATTCAACACTAAACAATGAGCAGTTGTAGATGTTATGGTTAAAAACCAGATTAACATTCTAGTTCCTATTGTTTCATGTTTTCACTGATGACATTATTGCTAGCTATTTTACTGTTCTGTTAGGTCAGGCGCTCCAAAAGTTGGGGTTAGGTCCCCTCCGGAAGGGCTAAAGTAGTACAACGATTATGGTGTGATCCCTGAGATCAAATATATACTAGATATATAGATATGAATGCATAATAAAATAGATAAATTTGCCATGAAATAAGTACATGTAACATTTCTATCTAATTAGACATTAGATATACCATTTTGTTGTAGATGCACAATTGAAAAATCTATTAAATAATTTAAAATATGCTTGAAATGATACATTGAATTATTGAATATCAAAAAAACATGTAAGAAGGCTTTCTTCAAACTCGAAATCACGGCCACATTCCAAAGTGATAGCCGGAAGTCCCTTCTTCATTAATATAAATCAATAAATAAATGACATAGGGGTTACTAAATGAGGAAGATGGTGGGGGGAAGGGGGGCCTAGAGGATGCAGTGTTTCAAATAATAATATAAAAATAATTAGAAATAATAAAAAAATTATAATAATGTTCTTTTAATAATAACAGCTATCATTATAACCGATTATTAATTTTTGTATGAATTTCTTTCACAATTTTTTTTATTGATGAGGGCAGAACATCCGGCTGTCACTTTCAAATGTGGGCGTGATTTCGAGTTTGATGAAAGGTGTCTTATATGGTTTTTTTTAATATCATTAAAAAACAAATATCTAAAAACAATTATATAATCCTTTACTGTTTATATGTTCAAATAAATATATCATTAAGTAATTATATGTTTTTTTTAGAGAATCAAAGGTTTTTTGCATTGTTATTTTTAGGGTCACAGACAAAGAAATAAAAAATTGGGAGCCCCTGTGATAATGTGTAGCCCTACACACTTAGAGAAGTATCTGAAGGAAAGCAATGGGTGTAAACATAACTTTAAAAAAGTTTCATCCTAGCACAATGGTCCTTGGAAAGCTGTTCATCTCTCCATCTTTAAACGCTCACACTCATGCCTAAGACTTAATTTCAATATCATTATTTTTCAGCTCCAGCTTTGTTAAAAAGGCAAAGTAAATTTTCTTACCGTTTTAGTTTGCTAGATAGGAGACTGCTCCAGGACGCTGCTGCTGAACATGACTGTCTTCGTCTGAATAGCTCCTTTATTGGTATCTGCTGTGGCATCACCCATTAGCCCTCTGCACGCACTCCTGTTTAAATCAAAATTTCTGCACTTCCATTTATATAATCGTGTTTCATACACAAAAAAATCACATTGCTCTAACTCTCACCCCTTTATTAACCAATAAGCACTGGGCACACAAAATTTACCGTAAAAAGCTGTGTTAAATGACTTAATACCACTAACAACGCTAAATAATTTAAAGTTATTGTGGCAGATTTTTTAAATAACCTGCTCTCTCCACTTAAAAAGAAAATGCACATACAAGACCATGCAAGAGCTCTTTCTGCTTGTGCATGTCCTGTTTAAAATGTGTTGTTCTCATAGCTCATACAAGCTAACTGTGCCACATATAGCAGGGACTATATAATGGACTTTATAGCAATCTCAGTTAACCGACCATTTGGACAGATGATCACTGCTTTTTGCTCCTCCTTTACCACACAGTGGCTGCGTCATCTTTGCTATTAGTTGCAGCTGCTGAGTAGTGACGACCCATAGCGACAGCATGCTGCTGTGACAGCAAATCCCAGAATGCTTTGCAAGGAGAGCTCTCCGCGCAAAGCTTCTGAGGCATTTCTTTTCTTTTTCTCTTACGTACCGTGGTCAGAAAGGTGAGCTTCAAAGATTGTCTGAAACCTTAGCTCATCACATATAGGCAGCTGAAAGTGCACATGCACAGAAAAGATAGCCAATGGGACATGCACGTAGGATGGCCTTAATTAAACATATCACCAGAATGAATGACAATTAGGAGGACCACTTATTTAGATGATCCAGCTGCAAAAAAAAAGATCGTCCTGTATACCTTTATCTCTTCAAGGCACTATTCTGTTCTACCATCCTGACAGCTGACATTTGACCTTTAAAGGGGAATTTATGACAGGATGCACGGAGACCAGACAGGATGTAGGGAGATGTCAGAACATAAAATGGTTGGAGAGAGGGAGCTTTTCTGTGTTTTAGTGTGGTTGTATTTTCTGCTCTTCATAAGTTTGAGCTCAATAAATCAATTAACTAACTAGCAGAATCTTCTGTGTAAAACATATGTAATGGTGTTTATAAACGTTTTTCTCCACATCTAAGCAGATCATATTGTTAGATCCACTAGGCTGTTTTCTGCAGCTTGTATTTTTTTTTTCTCTCTCTCTTTGCAGGACCAGTTGATCAGAGGCCTGTACCAAGACGCAAGCACCATGTAGCGGGATTACTTCCAGTCTATCCAATGTATTTAATCTACAGTAATGCTGGTTATCAACTCGCTAAATCAAACCAGATTTGACTAATCATGGATCTGTGAACCAGCACTTACCGTACAAAGGGGCGGCTTCAAAGTAGCAGACCAATCATATTCCTGAGCGCAGAAGAAATTTCTACTGAGAGGAACATCTTACAAAAATACGAAGCATTAAACAAGGTTTTCAAAAAAATAAATAAATCAAACATGGTGGCAGCATTACAAAGACACTAAATGATGCAGCAAAGGTTTGCAGGCTGCGTAAATGCATAAGTTACACATAATTTAACAGCCATACATTCCAATCATTGTAATGCATATTAATCATGTCTCATTCTCCAGATGTTACCCCTCAGCATACCCCTGCCACATCCTCACATGTTGCATTACATCAGACATCCCTGGCTTCAGCCATATCAACATAATGCAGAGTTCTTAGATCAAGGCCATTCTAAATGCCCCGTCAGAGATAGCTCGTTGTTAAGAGCCATTCATTCTGTCTAGGTCCCTGAGGCTGAGCAAACACAATGGCAGCTCACTGCTGCCCAAGGGGATGGGTTAAATGCTAAGAATGAATTTTCCAATTTTGTGACAATAAAGGGATTTACATTTTACATAGCTTTGTTGTGAATGATCAGAAGTTCAAAGGATTTATCACTGAATTTAGAGAAAATACATAATTTATGTGTATTCAAGAATCATGGCTTAAACCAAATATTTATTTTGTGATTAAAGTGTATGGGAGCATAAAAAAAATTACAGAGTTGTCAATGTCAATTTGATGTCAATTCAATATTGTAAATGTTTATAATCCATGCAAAAAAGTTTCCATGGATTTGTTAGTGCTGGGATAAAATGTGTTTTATGGAGGGAAAAGGAGGCCCAATGAACTTCTCTGCAGTTCTCACTACTTCCCTCAGCTTCTTCCAGTCTGCGGCGTTGCAGCACCCGCACCATACTGTGAGACAGCTGATCAGAACGTTCTACTTGAAGGCTGCCCTTTTATACCTGCTCGTTTACAGAGATCAGTCAAAGCTGGTTTGAGTTACAGAGTTGGGAGCAGGGGGTATTGAAGTCATAGAAGTAATAGAGTAATTAAGCCACAAAATAATAAAGCCATAAATCATTCATAAAAAAGCCATAGATCATTCATTTTAACATATGGTGTCCCCATTTGTCACGTCATTTTTTTTTTTCAATAGAATCTAGTAGCCAAAAGGAAGTGTTTTACCTCATTTAAACAGTCTTCTCTTGTCATACACAACCCGAAATGTTTTCATGAATTATGCATTCATCAAGTGAAACCCGCTTTTATCACGTCTAATGGTTTGCTGATGAATCCCTATAGAAGCATTCTCCTGACCTTGGAGAAAAGCATCAACCAGCCTCTTCATGCTCTCAAAATTGACATTTTCAGAAGCCTGCATGTTTCGTGTTATGCCTTTTGCTTTCAAAACCACTTTTTTCTGACGGGTCTGATAAGCATAACTCTTTGGACCTGTGGACACAAAATGTTCTATGCTATCCCCGTTTAACTCATCGCTTAATTGCCCCAAATAATTCCCCGTTTCCAGCTGAGTCTGACCCTTTTTGGTAACGTAGATTATACTGTCTGTGTCAAAATACAAAACTCTGTCTTGCAGCTTTTGAAGGTAACTCAACAGTTTTAATCTAGCCTAGGCCGTAGTGAACGCTGGGATAGAGACGTTGTTAGTTTTGTTTGGGGGACTAATAGATTTTTTTGTCCATCCCCTTTGAACAAGCACGTTTTCAGGATTCAGAAAGTGAAAATATTTCACATGTTTGTTCCCTGAAAACAACAGTTCAAAAAATTCCTGCTGTTCTGATAAGATGCTGGTCTGGGTCTGATCATTTTTCTAAGCAAACTTTCCCCAAAGACTGTTGGGACATAACTTTGCCACTTGTCATTTTGTCGGATTTGTCTCAATTTTTGAATATTCTAGTTGAATACCTTCATTCTTCAGGAAATCTGCCATGTAACGCTGTTTCCCCTCTTCATTTAAACTGTCTGTTTTAGAATGCGGGAAACAAGCATGTGGATATCCACTTTTGCAAACTTTCTCTGAGTCAAGGGTGCTTTGTTAAAAGCTGTAAAAATAAACAATGTTTAGGAAGAAGAAGTTGCTTATCAAAAAACGGGTATATAATTGTTTAAACAAATTTTTTAAACCCTCATTGCAAATCATTTTTCTGCTTCACTCACATTCTGAAGAGTGTGGGTGGGTAGGGTGGGTGTGTGTTTGGGTGTGTGTGTGCGTGTGCGTGTGTGTGTGTGTGTGTGTGTGTGTGTGTGTGGCCATGCCTTTAATACCTGGTGGGGACAATTTCCTAGGAATATGCTACATTTTGGGGACTCATAGGTACTTGTGGGGACCAACAACTGGTGCCCATAAGGAAAGTTTCTCTTCTTGGGGTGGGGGTTAGGTTTAGGACTAAGGTGTGAATTGAGTTTAGGTTAGGTTTAGGGATAGGTATGTGTCGGTAATGGTTAGGGTTAGGGCAAGGGTCATGGTTAGGCCATATAAATTAGTGGGAAATGAATGGAAGTCAATGGAAGGTCCCCACAAGGATATTGTGACACAACATGGGTGTGTGTGTGTGAGATGGGTTTGGTCTGAGATAGAAAAGGTGAAAAGTTTAAGGGTTGAAAAGTTTAAATATAATACCTGTGGATCATGCAGCCTTATGTACAGGTGTTCCAACTTGGAGATGTCAACTTGATGTTTAGATAACAGCTGGATGATAGATAAATATGTGTCTTTTGCAGCGCGGGAAAGGAGCAAAGGACCCAACACATGTTTTTACAGCTTGGTTGATGGTAAAGTTGAGCTGAGCTGAGGGCTGTAGGTTGGCTGTTTTCTGGAAGGATGGTTTAGGAAGGTTTCTGGGGGCTGATCAAAGAATAACAGAAAAATAGAAAAAATACATTGAAGCATGATAAAAGCAGGTTTCGTGGATAGAAAAGTTGGTTGGATTGATTTAAGAAAGAAACTTGCTAGCAATTCATGTTGTGTTTGTGAGTAACACATTTTTTTTTTTTTTTGACCATAGCCTGATTTATAAAACCTTGAATCACAGACTTTAATGATGAATTAAACATTGGTCTTTACACAAAAGAGGGCTGAAGGCTGACTGTTTCTGGAAGGATGGTTTATTAAGGCTTCTGGGGGCTGATCATAGAATAATAGACAAATAGAGAAAATACATTGAAGCATGATAAAAGCAGGTTTTGTGGATAGAAAAGTTAGCTGGATTGATTTAAAGGAATAGTACACCCAAAACATGATTAGCCTTCATTTTCTACTCACCCCCATGCTGAACAACACTCTGGAGTACTTTTTTGATATCTCAAATGCATCTGGAGATCTGGGAGGCTTTTTGCTGTCTGCTGACATTCAAATAATGGAGGTCTATGGTGCCCGAGGCAGAAAGGTCCATAAAAGTCCACAAAAAACGTGTCAATATTCCTCCATACTGCTCGTCCAATGTATTCCAAGTGTCCTGAGTGGGACAAGGGGAGTTTTTCCTCTCCACTGTCGCTTCATGCTTGCTCATCATGGACAGTTCACGGTACCTGCATCACCAAGCAGGACCTCTATATCCCAAGTCTGAGTGAAGCCCCGGCGTCAGCTCCCTCAGTCTTTTAGTCCCACAATTCTGCCCAGCAGATCACCTTGTCAACCAGCTCGGATCAAACCACCACCAGTTTCAGGCCGGGGGGAACATCCCTATTCACATTCATCTACTCAAGCATGTTAAAGCTTAATTCAGCATGAATGTTCCTGCCGAGGTCTGAGCGCCAAAGACTATACTTTCTTATCAATAAATTCTTCTAATTATCTTTTCTCTCTGTGTGAGTTTTTCAGATTGAAATAAAATTAGTAATTATTTTTAAAAAATAATCAAAAATGAAAAAAAAATGTTTATAAAAATTAATATAATCAAGATTAAAACATTTTATTTTGATAACGGTTATGATTATTAAATTATTATTTTAAATTATTTGTATTTATTTCTTATATATTCACTGTTAGCACTCCATTCCAACCTCTGCCTGTAGCAGCTCTGTGATCTTAACACTGCCCCTCAAACCATCCGTGTTGTAGCTGCTCAGATACATAACCTGGGTCTTTAATATACTGTAATGAACTTTTATTTATCTGGGAGAAATGTTGACAAAAAAATTAGCTTTGCACTGGATAGAAAAGGGTCAGACATGACGCTTTTGTCATGATCTTGGTGATGATCGCTGTCTTAATTGCTCATTCCAATCACCTGACTAAATCCGCCCGGTTTCTCATTACTGCTCATCTGATCCACCTGTTCCAGCTCCCTATTTATGTTGCCTGTTTTCCAGCCATCAGTGCAAGATTAGTTTTGTTTGCCCCTGTTCTCCTCTGTTGCCGATCTGTTTTCTGACTTTTACCTGGATTCCGCCTGCTAACTGCCTTGGACCTAAACTGCATTCTGCCTGCTAACTGCCTTGGACCTAAACTGCATTCTGCCTGCTAACTGCCTTGGACCTGTCTTCTGAACCCGGCTTATATATCCCTTTGTCATCCCTTCGGACTTCTGATCTGGAAACCTGCTTGCAATACGACTCTGGCTCTGGATTCTACCTATGGATACTTCTGCTCTTCCGCATCTGCTGACTTCTGCTCATCAACCTGCTTAGTTTCTTTCCTGGAACTCTTGAGGCGGCCACCGCATGCTGTGGAGAAACAATCCATCTGGATTCCACTCCTTCCTCTGGGCTCAGACTGAACTCATAACCATGTTAGTAATGTCCCTGCTCATTATTGTGGCCCGTTTGAGTTTCATAGTCACTAACCTGAGTTTCTACTTCTACAGAGTATTCACTGAACCTGCCCGTGCCATTGAGACACTGTACGCAGAACGAAAAATAAACACTTGTATTGATAAAACTCTGATCTGTATTCTTTAATTATGCTCCTATGTTCTATGCTTCTGACTCTATAATTTGTTCAGATTACAGTACATCCTTATCAGATTTAGAGCATACCAGTAAGAAGGTAGACCAGATACATTATTAGAACTAACACAAACCCTTCATAGAATTTACATAATTGGGCTTTTCATTGATTTTATATGGGTACCTGCTCTTTATGAGGTCAAGGGGAATGAAAGTGCAGATAAGACAGCAAAGGAGAACATTAAACAGTTATTTGTTGGAATTAACTTTAAGATCAATAAAACAGAACTGAAGGGTTTAATAAGAAGGAAAATAAAGACAAAGTGACGGAAGGAATGGAAAGATAGAAAAGGACTGTTAGGTTTATTCTTTATACATCATGCACATTGTTACTTTGCTAGCCAGATTAGACAGAGTAGAAGGCCTTCCTTCACATGGTGGATGACACTGTGTGTACGGAGGTCATCTGATCAGGACAGCCTTCGTGTCTTTAAAGATACACAGGATATGGGCACATCTTGGAGCCGGACTGATAAAGGAAAGCTATGCGTAATCCTGGGGTAAAGAGGCAAGATGTATAAAGGTCAAGGCATGGATGGCATGTCAATTTCTGATACGGACAGCTAAGCATCCACCTGATGCAACACATGGACTCATAAGGTATAAGAAGGAAGAGATTACCTTGTTCGGGTCTCAAGCTTTGCCGGGCGCTCGCTGACGTTTTTTGAGCCCACAGCTGTGCCAACTCCAAGCAATTTCTCTGTCCTGTAACGACCTGACCTGAAATAAACGCTGTTACTTTTTTACTCCTGTTTTATAGTCCTTTTTTATATGGTTTTACCCAGTTTGAGTTAAGAGTAGTAAATAACTTGCTCCCAGAAAAAGAACCGGTAGGGAAGTTCTGAGGCACAGCCGCTTTCAGGGGGACTTAACTTCCATATTTAACAGGACGATGGCTGTTAAATATGGAATGGAAAGTGGGGAAAAATGTGAGGAACAGGGAGAAACAGAAGAATATTATTTAAAGACACACAGGACAGAAAAGGACTAAAGGAATCTTTATTCTTAACAAGGAAGCTCCAGACCGTAGATAAGAATGTGGAGAACTTGAAAGTATATAACATGTATTTTTACAGTGCACTTAGTATCAGGATGAATGATATAATTCAAAATCTTTACAGTATTAAATTAAAACTAGATCTCATAGAATTGTGTCCTGCGAAATGTTTTCAAATATTCAACTACACAGTCTAGTTAAATTGCAAGGTATATTGAGAACAAGACATCCAAAATGTCAAGCATGTATCATAATATGCCCTGTTCTGTTTTAGACTAAATAAAAAAACTTTGGTTAAACGGTAACAAACCTGAGAAAGAATCTGGCGTGTTATGGGAATGACTATTTCTGGTATCCAAACACTCACTCAGACATTTTGTGACCTTGCAGGTGAAGTGAGTAAAATATTTTCATTGAGTAAATAACATAACTCGATATATGAAATAAGAAATTGATAGAAATCTAATTTTTCTGACCATAGTTGTAACAGAGAGGGATTCTAAGAGTAAAAGCTACATGGCAATATTTAAACTATGAAACAAAGTTGTTTAATTGATTAGAATGTGAGGTTTTAATTTTAGTCATTTTTTTATGGACATCCAGTTCATACTCCTTTCCATAAAGGGGCGGTAATGCGCATTAAAGGTTGTTTTCCAAACACCAATAAAAGGCACAGAAGAAGAAGAACGTCAAATCCGGAAGAAATTTTGATTATTCTTTTTTTTTTTTTTCTTTCTTTTTTTTTTCTTCTTTTTTTTAATTGAATATATAAGAAAACAATAACAATCTCAAATAACAAGTCAATAACAAATATTTCAATACAAGAAGAAATATCACAACTCCTGCTTTTGAAAAATACAATTAAATACACATGCTGGAACAAAGTGTAAAATAAAATAAAATCAATAAAAATAAATAAAATAATAATAGTAGTTAAAATAAATTAATCAGTGGGGACTACCAACTGAAAATCTTCAATTAACTCAAACAATTTAATTGCATTTAAAATCTGAAAAGGGAAAGTTCATTTTTGAGAGCAGAGATTGAGAGGGAGCATTTTGCATAGCGACATTTATGGATATAATACTTTGTTACAATTATTAGAATATTGATTAAAAATTCCAATTTTTTTTCTTTAATGGATAAACCGAATTGAATGTTTTGCCAGGAAATATAATCTAAATTTATTGTTTTAGAAGACAGAAAGTTTCGAAGTTGATCCCATAAGTTTAATACTTCTTTACATTCATAAAAAAGATGTTTAGTTGTTTCCAATTGAGTTGTACAAAAGCCACAATTCTCAACATTAAACTTAAATCTCTCTCAAATTTTGGTTATTCATAAAGCATTGTTTTTATTTTAACATAACACACACAAAAAAAAAAATAGAATAGAATAGGTGGAACTAGGTAGGTGGCGGTATGCACCTGTTAGCTGTTTGCAATCCGCCATTCAACATTGAAGAAGAAGAAGAACGTCAAATCCGGTGGACTCAATTTCCCATGAGCACTAGCAACCAAAATCACAAGATCAATCATGGGACGTTGCAGCCATAGTTTCTAACAGTGTTTTGACTTTGTTTGGGGATCTGATCTGGAAACATGGCAGTAGAAACCATCGCACCTGATTGGGAGTTTGACCGTTTTGACGACGGTTCTCAGAGTAAGTTCATCATGCTGTAAAGCAGCTAACTGTTGCCAACTGTTTACTTCCAACGTTAGCTCCTGCTGTTAGCCAAATGCTAAGCCACTGGGCACCCACCACATACTATCCCTACATTAGTCAAAATAGGGACATTGTACATATGTGCATTAAAAATGGTGGTTGGTTTGAGTAAACGTAATGCTGAGGCGTGAAGCAGGCTGTCATAAGGGAAGACAAACCAGCTACGGTGCGAATGCTAACCATCATTGACAGCTAATATAGTTTGACGGTTTGTTCACTGTGAATGACCATGAAACTGTGTCAATTATAGTAATGCATACATGGTTTCTTTGTGCTTTTGTCTATGTTAACCTTGAAGTATCCACGTTGTCTCTGCTAACGCCAAGTGAAAGTGGTTTATTGACCTGTAGTCACTCAGGCAACTAGTTTATTTTATTTATTGACTGGAGCTGGTTTTGTGTTTTGATCAATTTGGGCGACAATCTTTATCAAAACTATGCACTATTGTGGCAAAAAAGAAGTTCTGCACTATCAATGCAAGGGAAATAGTAATGTATATATAATATAACCATTTCTATTACATAGATATAGAAATGTAATCTCCCAGCAACACACAAAAGAAGAACACATTTATTTGTTAGCCTCTAAAGCAATATTTTTTACATTTTATTTAATGCACTGATTATTTTCTCATGCAATAGAAATACACACAGAAGTTCAGTTGAAGAACTACAGCAGATTTCTGGAGGAATACACCTCCCAGCTGAGGGGAATTGAAGAGGCTCTGGATGATTCTATAGGAGATGTGTGGGACTTCACTCTGGACCCCATCGCTCTAAAGGTAGGAAAACAATACAAAGCTGTAAACATTAAAACCATAGCTGTACTTCCACCTTAAAATTCTGACACTAAACTTTTATTCTTTCCAGCTTCTCCCTGACGAGCAGACTTCGTTATTAGAGTTAATTAAAACAGACAATAAGGTAAAAGAATAACTAAATATATAAATTCAAATATATGTCTACATATTTATACTATATGTGTATTAGGGGTGGAACGGTTCACAAAATCCACGGTTCGGTTCGGTTCACGGTTTCGTGGTCACAGTTTTCGGTTCGGTCTATGTTGATTGTTACACTGAAATCCCATAAAAATTAATGAAAAAATCCCCCAAAAATTAATGAATTGTAATTATTTTTAATGATCCGCGGAAACCCTGGATCATTTCCGTATTTTTTGCTGCTTTGAATTTAATCATCTCGCGCATGCCCTCTACGATCTCCAAGGAACTCAGAGGGGAGCGGACGGGAGCCACAGTATAAACAAATAAACAAAACTTGTTGCACAATGCTCGCACACTGTTGCACTTTTATCCACAACTTTCTTTCCGCCGTCATCTTAGGTCACTCTAAATGCAAAGCGGTCTCATACAGCACTATAAAGTGCTGCTGGCGCGTCTTCCAGCTCCTGTTCTTTCCCACTCGCCATACCCACACAATTCTCCACAACAACTGATTTTTTTCTGCTACACCCGGCTACGCTGCTTCGCTTCTTCTTCTTGTTTACTACTGGTGGTTGGCTTTGGTCGCAGTACCGCCACCTTCTGCTCTGGAGTGTACACGCTTCGCCTATGAGAAAAAGGAGCAGCGCATGAACCGGAAGCAACACCCGCGAATCGAACCGAGACAGTCGAACCGAACGGTTCGGACGGTTTTAATAAACCGTTCCATCCTTAATGTGTATATATATGATGTACTATAGTTAAAAAAAAAATGTCTGATCTGTGTCACATACAGGTTTTAAACAAAGTTATTACTGTTTATGCTGCTCTCTGTAGTGAAGTAAAAAAGCTCAAGTATGAGGTGAGTTCTGTGCTTTTGCTAGATTAGTTTATGTGTTTGCTTTCTAAAACACAATTTTTTTTTTTCTTTTTCCTAGGCAGAAACCAAGTTCTACAATGGATTATTGTTTTATGGAGAGGGAGGTAGAGTATCGGCTCCTACTGTATGTAGTAAACATCCATTTGATATGACAGGTGAAAATAAAACATCTGTTGTTTTGTTTTTCCAGTGTGTGAAACTGGTGTTGTCGAAGGCGAATCTCAGATTCAAATGGGCCGATTTATTTCGTTCTTGCAGGTGAACTGTAAATCCTTTTTTCTAAAACTTACTTGATTTCTTGATTTTTATATCTCCTTTTTCTGCTCTCAATCTGTAGGAACTGTCCTGCTTTGTTTCCAGATGTTATGAAGTGGTGGTCAGCATCATTCATCAGCAGGCTGCCCTTTACAACAGTAGCAAGTAAGCTCCATATGTCAGATAATAATAAAAATCAATTATCAGATTGACTGAATGAGCCCTTTCCCAAAAAACACCATTGATGAATTGAGTACTAATGTCAGATTATGCAAGGTGAAGTCGCAATTGAACATTTGTATCACTAATGTATCTCACTATGGTGTCATATCACTCAGTAATAGAGCAGGTACATCCTAACATACTGGAGGTTACACTCCTCAATATGGCTGTCCCAGATTTCAGACCTTGTCTATTTGTGGCATGTCTTTCCCTTCGCTCTTTGCCCCTATTTTTGCCAGCTATTAATGAATTAAGATCAATAGTACTGTGTAAGCTAAAAATAAGTAAATGTTTATTTATATAGCACCTTTTACAGACATAGAGGTCACAAAGTGCTTCACAAAATTGAAATACTATTACAATACATTTACAGTCACAAAAGACATGGTCATTAAAACTACCATTAATCTACTGGAATTAAAATGCCTTCTTAAACAAATGGGCTTTCAGTTCACTCTTAAAAATGTCAACAGCATCAAGTAAGTGCAAGAAAAGCGGAAGTTCGTTCCAGAGCAGCTGTGCGACCGCCTGAAAGGAGCGATTTCCCCTGGTCCTGTAACGAGTACTAGGGACCATGAGCAGGTTCTGGTCATGTACTGTATATATAACATGAAGTTTGAAGGAGTATAGTTGTTAATAAACTCTGGACAATCACTCGATAGCTGTAACAGGGTTTCCGCGGATGATTAAAAATCATTAAAATTCATTAAAATATTATTTTTTAAGTTAAGGCCTTAATTGGCATTACAATTCATTAAATATGCTTATTGTGGCACTTAAAATGCTGCATTAAAAACAAAGAAAAGAAAGTGGTAGTGGTAAAAGAGTTGAGGTGTTGTCCTCTTGGTCCACTTCTTTTTTTTTTTTTATGAGCAGGTTATTACTACTGGTAGAACTGTCAAAAAAGCTTTAAAATATGAAAAAAAAAAAAACTTATTTTAGTCTAAGTTCTTCCCAATAATTAATTGTTGGGTTAGAGTTATCTTAAGTTTTTTTTTTTCTTGAAAGAAACTAAACTTCAATACATTTTAACTTGTATTTAATCTTAAAATACCTTCTGAATTATTAAGAGTGAAGGCATTGTATTATCTAGGGCTGTAACTAAAGATTATTTTGCAAATTGATTGGATCTGTCGATCGATTTTATTTATTTTATTTTTATTTTTTTTAAACCAAACATTTGAGGAAAAACGACTTAAGTTCACCAAGGACATCCATTTTTCACTAGCCACATAAAACGCTTCACAACAACTGTCTTCCGTTCACGCCATGAGGGAGTCTTAAACACTTTAAAGGGCATATTACCTATATTTCACCCTTGTCTAGAGGGAGGAGGCAACTGCTCGCTGTCACCCCCACTTTAACTCCCTGCTTAACATTCCAGCATAGAGACTGGTACAAGATTTCTCTAGGATCACTCCTATTAGGCAGAGGAAAGGCACACTCTAATATTTCATCTCTCAAGACTTTTTGCTTAAATAAACCAAGTGAAAATAAAACTTCTCCATTCAAGGACCTCTGGATAGAGCATATTGACAGACGAAAAAACAATTATTTTTCTAAAGCTCCTGTCACACTTTGACGATTTAGACCAGCATATGCCTGAAGAACCAAATAATCTGGCAAAAACGCTAGCCTGCATTGAATAAGTTAGGAGTTACGATACGTGGGGCATAAACTATAAGTAACTTATTTGATCATTGACATACTTTAAGTGTAAGTTCCTCATAAGTCGTGGAGTCTGGCTTATCCAAAACCTCTGAATAACTTGTGCACTGCACTTACAGCCACTGTATAATGGCGTATTGGCAGCCTTTTGGTATAAGAGGGTTGACAGGAGGAAACGGTCTGTACTCCTCCAGACTTCCCCATCATAGGGTGAGTGTGAAGGTGAGTGAGATGGATCCTCCCTGCGTTCACGCCCACGGCCAACCAACTTCCTAGCAGACATGAAGCTGAATCTGCTGCGACTGCAAACCTTCTTTGTTTTTTTCTTTTTATTTATTTATTTATTTTATCCAGCGATAAACAGCAGCTGGGATAATACCGCAATCAAAGAAATCTTTTTATGCAGACTGGGGGCATCCGGGTGCATCGCTGCCCCCCTCAAGACACTGGCTCGTAACATTTCATGGCCATTACGCTGCCATGCATTATACGTAAGTTAGGCTGTCGCTGGACATAAGTTCTGGACTCTTTATGAGTATGCTATGTATACGCCCAAAACTGAAAAAAATACGTGGAAAGTTAAGTGTAGGCCAGCATTTTTGAAGATTCTGGGATATCAGGCTTACACTGGTTAAATCATCAAAGTGTGACAGGGGCTTAAAATCCAAAATGTTTACATTTTTTATATAATTTTGGTATAATTACTGCTCTGAGTGAGGCATACGTCTTAATCAAGCAACAAAAGCAGCAAAATCTGACCCTACAGCTCTGATCCATCTGCCCAATCATCCCACTAGCTCACCACAAGACATGTCTGCTTTAATCCAGTTGAAAACTTTTATATCTCTAATTGAAATATTCAAACTTAAAATATTCTTGCTTGGAACAGAGAACTCTGGGATGTGAGTTTGTGTTAGTTTTGTCTTCTAATAGTAGTAGTAGGATTCCCTGATCACAGCATGTTTGGTGTTCCATTATCAGGAAAATGTGTTTTCTCAGGCTTATACCTCTGGATGTTCGGTCATCGCAGTTTATTAATGAATTTGTTAGTTGTTCCATAAAAAGAAAATGGAAAAACAATCCACTGGACTTTGTTTCAAAGTTTAAAGACATTTCGCTTCCCATCCAGGCAGCTTTTTAAATTCAAAATGGCAGGAAACGTCTTCAAACTTGGAAAGTCCAGTGGATGTTTTTAATTTTCTTTTTTAGAATGACTATGACCTGGATGACTGATTCTTCATCAGCATTTTGTGATCAGATTTGGCACTCAAACGTTAATCTTTCCAGTCGCACATAGATTTATAGAGGAAAGGCTGTATCTCCTGTTATCATTGTGTTTAGCTTATTTGATCGTTTTTTTTTTTTTTGTTTTTTTTTTATATAAATTCCTCTCCTAAAAAATGAGAATGTAAAATGTATTTCTTGCATTTCAGGGGAGCAGCAAAAATCATTGAATCATCTGGTGTCCATTTCCAGGTGGGTTTTTATATTTAAGGAACTTGTTTTTTTTTGTTTTTTTTTCTTCCTTCTTCAGTCAGTTTTAACTCTGCCTGTATTTCTCCATGTGTCTCTCCTGCATTTGTTGTGCAGGTGGTGTATGAGCACCTGGGGGAGCTGTTAGTGGTTCTGATCACGCTCGATGAGATTATGGAAAATCATGGTACCCTAAAAGATCACTGGAAGATGTATAAAAGGTCAATACACACACACACCAACACACACACAACTGTTTGTACATTCCCTGATATTTTGATTATAGTCAGATTTTTCAATTTCTGTGATTTGAGTTTTCTTTCTCTGTCATAAAAGAATAATGTCATGTAAGATCTCTTCATTATTAAAAAAGAATGGATAATTGTTTTAAATAGTAGAAAAAAATAATTTATTTTAGGGAAAATAAGACAGGAACTACATATGTTAGATGCAGGAGAGTAAATGTCAAAAGTCTGGCCTGTGGGCTATTTGTGGCCCTCAGTACTATTTTGTGTGGCTAACTACCATCAATAAGGATTTTGCAAGTTTGGCCCACTAGTAACACCAATTCACGAGTGATGCTTTCTTAAATGTCTTTCAGTTTATAGCTTAGTGGTAGAGCATATGACTGCAGCTCAAGAGCTCTCTGGTTCAACTCCAGATGCCCCCTAATTTCAGTTTAGTGGCTTTGAGTGTATATAACTCAAGTTCCTTCTTAAAAAGAATTTGGGGAATGGTGGTCTAGTGGTTAGGTCATTGCGCTGGAATCTAGAGGTTCTGAGGTCAAGCCTCACTGCCACAGACTCTGGGTCCCTGAGCAAAGACCCTTAACCCCACACTGACCCCGGGCGCCGCAAAACGGCAGCCAACTTGGATGGGTTAAATGCAGAGAGTCAATTTCGCTGCTCTGTACTTGTAACAGTGTAATGACAATACAATTGTAAAAAAAAAAATATGTAAACATTTTGTATTGAAGATAAAAAATAAAAAACTTTTCTGTCTGTCAATATGCTCTATCCAGAGCTCCTCAAGCGAAACAGTTATAGTTTCATCTGGTTTAAAGCTGAAGTCTGTAAGTTTTTAAAAATCACTTTTTGTCATATTGGCTAAAACTGTCCCTATGCCCAGACAGCAGTACATGTGATATGTAACCTGTGAAAAAAACTGCTTCAATTGGTACCGCCTACTGCCTGTATTTCAATCTGGAAAGAATAATTCGGGACAAGTCAAAACAACCAATCACAGAGGAGCGTCTGATGGATTGTCAATCACAGCTCACACACGCTGAACCACCCCCCCCTTCTGGTCGCATGCGGTAGCCACGCAGATGCTGTGAGAGGGGTGGAGCTTGGAGGTGGGGCATGAGTGAAGCAGAGAGGGTGGGGGAGTGGCGTGAACGTGAAACCTGTTTTTCTTCAAATTTTCAGTCGAAGTCTGCTCTCTCCTCAATGTTACAGACTGCAGCTTTAATTCTATAAAAAGTCTTCTTTAAGGAAATTTTTGCTATCAGATTATTAATGGATTAAAAAAACAACAACAGATATATCAATTTCAAATGTAATCATTAGTTGCAGCTAGGGCTGCAACAACGAATCGATAAAATCGATAAAAATCGACTTTTAAAAGCGTTTGCAACGAATTTCATCGTCGATTAGTTGTGTCGCGCGATTAATGCATCATCCGCCGCCGTCGTCATCTCTGCCAAAAGAAAAGAAAAAAATACGGCAGAGTGAGCCAGTGCCGCAGGTGCAGTGTTGCCAACTCAGCGACTTTGTCACTATATTTAGCGACTTTTCAGACCCCTCCAGCGACTATTTTTCAAAAAACAACTAGCGACAAATCTGGCGACTTTTTACGGTGTCACTGGCGGCTTTTGGAGACTCTTACGTGAAAGCATGTATCGTTCCTTCTCTTGTCCTCCAGCGGCAGCTGCTGCCGTGGGGCGCCCCCCCCATCCCAACCCCGTTCTCCCGCAGGAGTCCCTCTCAGCGCTGCAGTCAGAGCCGCAGGATGTTTACCCTCAGCGTCCAGACTGCAAATGAAGCGCGCATGCGCCGGGATTGACGGCGCAAATTGATCACAATAATTAGAATAGCCTGTGCTTTGTAAAGCGAAAAAAGTCGTAACATGCAACTTTTGTAAAAACAAATTGACATGGCACGGAAGCACCACTGTTATGACGCAGCACCTGAAAAGAAAACACGTTGGAGCCTTCGATGGCAGTGAAGAGAGCTGATCAGCAGGGTGAGCGACCATGTTTGTTTCGTTTTAAAGAGGGGAAACGTAACGTTAGTTTCTCAGGTAGCTCATCTGATGCTTTCCTTACCGTGTTAGTAGGTTACAGAGAGTGATAAGGTTGGCTACTTATTTTACCTTAATTTCATTTGAATTAGCTTAAGCAGCGTTTATATTTTCTTTATAAATAAATTAACTTGCAAATTATGAGGGCAAGGCTTTAAAAGTTTAAATCTTCTGGCAAAGATAAAGTAAAGAAGATCCTGTATTTTATGAAAGTAAAGCAGAATAAAATCCAGCAAGATCAGTAATATGTCAATTAATTATATGCCACATTCCCAGGTAAATATCTGTCTTTGGAGGATGTGTTTTTTAGCACCCCTAGTTCTCTCATTTTTATTCCAAATACAATTTATCATTTGAATCACAGGGCTATTTTTATCTCTATGGTTCAGTATTTTCTCAAGTAGCAACTTTAACTGCTATACTTTTGTCGTGTCTTTTCCTTCTTAATGACTTGAAAATTGAAACTAAGTTTTATAAAAATTCAAAGTTCTCAAAAGGCAGAAAAAGTCTTCAACCAAAAATGTAAAAAACAGGCAGAAGTCACGGATTTCCAAGTCCAGAGTGTTTTATTGCAAAACACAGCATCCACACTGAGCTGTTCTCCGGAAAACAACTGACTATACAATGAAACAGCTTCCCTTTTATACATTTCAGGCTATTGGGGCTCCTCCCCCAAGCTCCTCCTTTCTTTTCATCATTTTAGATGCATTTTCTTCAGTTAAGTTTAATTAATTTTATTCTACCGGTGGAAAGTCCTTTTCAAAACACATTTTTATATATTTAATCAACAAACACTTTATTACATGTCATGATTATTTTTCTTATAAGTCATAATAACATATGTCGCTATTAAATCAACAACCATTATTTTTCAGTTATTATTATTTCAAAACACAGTTTTCAGTTCAGTTGTTATTATTTTAAAACAAAGTTTTCATTCAGTGATTCATGATTGCAACTTTTCACATTGAACTAGGGTGCTTAAAGTTTCAGTAAACCATCACATTGATGGTACTTAGTACTGCTCAGGGTGTGTGTGTGTTAAACCAACAACTCCCTTTCACAATTTTGTTTAACTAAGCTGTGTACATCTGCACTAATGCTCCTCAAACAGGCCTTATTCTGACTCTTCTGCCGCTTCTGAGGCCTAAATGATCTCAGCCATCTGCCTTTTTGACGCTGTGCTCAGAACATTATTGATCCCAGCCATCTGCCTTTTTGACGCTATGCTCAGAATTCTGTCCTTCCTTAGAAACCTACCTCTGCAAAGCTGCGCTTTAGGATTATTCATTAACAGCCTACTCCTGCAAAGGTGCACTTAAAAATCTTTCTACTCAATTAATCAGCCTTATCTGTAAAGCTGTACTGCAGGTCTCACAGCTCAGACTTTTCCATGCTAAGGCACAAATGGTTAGACCTTTAAACCAAGCCCTTTATTCAATGTAAAAGATGACATGTAGATAACTTTAATCGCATAACTTTAATCATTGGTGCACACTAATTCTCTACACTTTCCTGTCTTAAAAGGCACAATTCTTCTAGTCATTTGTTGAAATGGGGGGACCTATTGTTTGAGCCCCTTAGGGGCTTTTAAAAACAAAAATGCCTGTCTTTTTTTTGCGTTTTATGAAACAAAGTACCCTATATTTTGTGGATGTACAGCTACATTTCTCATGTAAGTTTGCATAGTTTTAACACAAACATTTATTTTTCATATAGCACCAGTACAGTTAATGAGAAACCTGTACTTGTGTGCTTGTTTGTTCTGTCTAAAATGTTTATTTTGGAATAAAGAGGTTAATATAAAAAATATTTTTTGTCCGATTCATCGATTAATCGAAAAAATAATCGGCCGATTCATCGATTTTTAAAATTTTTATTTTATTTTTATTTATCCTTTATTTAACCAGGTAATACCCATTGAGATTAAAAATATCTTTTGCAAGGGAGACCTGGCCAAGATAGGCATCAAAATTACATCACATCATTACATACGTACAAGACACACACATAAAAGCCAAATATGCACTTACAGTAAAATTTCAATTAAAACATTGACATGTGAAAACATCTAATTCTCAGCTTAAAAGTATTCAAAGGAACCAATTTACTAAGTTTCATGTTATTTTGCAGCAAATTCCATGTAAAGGGAGCAGAGTAAGCAAAGGCCTTTTTACCCAGCTCAGTACTGACACGTGGCACAGAAAACAAGACAACAAAATAATCGTTAGTTGCAGCCCTAGTTTATAATCAAGCTTTTTTTGTTTGTTTGTTTTTGTTATGCAAAAACCTTTGCAAAGATCAAGCTACATACCAAAGTGGCAACACCAGCCTAACAATGCTATCTGACTCACAGCAGACACATTTACATCTGTAAGCTCCTCCCTGATATTACCCAGATCCTCTGTTGTCCCAGCTCCATACTGAGGGAGGATAATTCTCATTGCTGTAAAACAGTCGGCAATAAAAACCCACCTTAAGGGGCCTACTGAGGCCCCCCCCAAAGGGCAATAAAACACATGGGATCACATTCCATTCATTTCCTCACACATCCTGTTGTTAAGAATATCAAATCATTCAGTATCTAAGTAAGCTAATATGTCTATATGAAGTTAAATGCATTCACTTGAGATGTTTAAAGCTATGGTAGCAACGTTGCCTTGATTTAACGTATTTATCATGAACATATGTATAGGTTATTAAAGTCTGTTCATCACAACCCCGGAAAATTTTCCATCTCTGAAGAAAAACTGAAACCATTTGAGAAGCTCCTGTTGAAGCTGGAGGGGCAGCTGCTGGATGGCATGATACTTCAGGTGGTTTTTTTACTTTGTACCAGCAGATCACTGCTTTCACTACAGAAAGCTCCGCTGAGCAACAGTAACATGAGCGTCTTTGACAGGCATGTGTGGAGCAGAGGTTCGATGACCCAGCTGAGGGGGTGACTGTCTCCAAAAACGGCGCCTTTGCCGAGGAGTTCGCCTTCAACATTCGCTCCATATTTACTAATGTGGAGTCAAAGATTGGTCAGTTTCTCTGAGGATACACTGTTCTGTCTCACCCAGCTCTTTAGTTTTAATCACGTTTTTGTTTCTTTTTTTAGGTGAACCTTCTGAAATTGACCAGAGAGATAAGTACGCTGCGGTCTGTGGCCTCTTTGTCCTACACTTTCACATTTTTAGAAGCGTTGACAAGAAACTCTTCAAATCGTTGCTTGATGTCTGTAAAAAGGTAAAGACATTCTTAATTTATTCATCATTCTTATCTTAAATCTTCATCTCACATATCTTTTTTTCTTGTAGGTCCCTGCTGTCACTCTGATTGCAAATATCATCTGGTTCCCCGATACCTTCCTCACCACTAAAGTCCCGGCTGCTGCCAAACTGATGGACAAGAAAAGCCTGCAGGCGATCAAAACACAGAGAGACGCCTACCTGCAGCAAAGGGCCCAGACTTTAACAAAGTGAGGATCATTAAAAATAATTTATAATAAAAAGCAGGAGAACAGCAGTAATCTCATATGTATCTATCATTTGCTTCAGGGACGTCCAGTCGTACTACGTTTTTGTAACTTCGTGGATGATGAAGATGGAGTCCATCCTGTCCAAAGAGCATAAGAGTGACAAGATGGCAGAGGACCTCAACAGCAGATGTAATGTGTTCTTGCAGGTAAAGCGATAAAAGACCGGCCATGAGGCTATATTTGAGAATAATTCTTGCTTTGATCCCTTTGAATTTGTGGTGTGTGGTGTGTTTTATCTTATCGGTTGCACCTGAATGCACCATGCACAGTTCATTCAGACCACAGACTCACATTTTCTGCTCATTAGTGGTTTAGTGCAAACAGATTAGGACATGAACTGATTTTCCTCCAGTACAAATGATGCTTATATACAGACTGTTTCTTATCAGTACAATTGGCTACATAAATGATAGCTGTTAAAAGATGCGTTCATTGACATGAAGTTTCAGTTGAGTCCAACCTTCTTTCCAAACTGTAGTTGCATGCGAAGCCTTAAGGCTCCCAGATAGCAGCATTTCCTGATAGCTGGGTGTCCCTTCTCTTTTGTAGGGTGTTTATTTTTAAGCCTGCCTAACAGAACGTATTATTGCAGTTTGTTGACACTGTGATTATTACTGATCTGTAATATTTTAAAAGGGACTGTAAACATTAATGAACATTTCAGTAAATATGTCTGTGTGAGCTATAAAGCTAATTGTTTTTATTTTATTTTAGGGCTGGGTGATATAGAAAAAAAGCTTATCGATAAAAAAAAATGCATATTATTGATCGATATTGATAATTATTGAAAAGATTTGAAACCATATTTTATGTGCAGCTCTGCCTGGACTTTTTTATAATGTTGCTAAATGATTTAATTTTAATAAAAAACATAAACACAGACTTCCAATTAAATATTTATTTAACCAACTTTTTTAACCATAACAGAATTGTTTTAAAGAAAAATAACTTAAAAGACCTGAGTTATGTTATTAAATACTGACAAAGAATAAACTAAAGTGACCTGAAAAGTGACCAAAATAAATATAACAAATAAATAAATAGAATACCCTGTTTGGGTGGGAATAGTACATCACCAGCTTGTGGTAATTAATAGATTGTAGGACTAGGCTACCATGTAAACTCCACTCAACAGGAACAAAAATCCAAATCAACTCACCCTTTAGCCTAGCATTTCTATGGGGTATTTTTTCTCACCCCTATTCTTCTATAGGTGCTGCTGGCACCTCGTTATGGTTCAGCTTAGTTTCCTGCTTTAACCTGAGTTATTACTTTGAAGTTTCTGGCCCCTCAGCATTTTTCTCTCAACTGTTAGAACTACGTGGGAAACTGCCCAGAACTGAATATATATATATATATATATATATATATATATATATATATATATATATATATATATTTTTTTTTTTTTTTTTTTTCCCCCGAATTCCCGAAGATTCCTCGGAGGAGAGCCGCGCCGGGGATTACACAGCTCGTACTCCTGCGGATGTGAGCGGCTGAGATGATATAAAAAAAAAAAGTTGGTTGTGTTATCAGACTTCGTTTTCACTGGTTCCCTACTAATTTTACAGATGACTGTGGTTTGTTTTTTGTCCGACTTGCCATGACCGAAATACTGCCAGACTAGCGAACTACAAAAACCCTTCTTTGGAACAATTTCCTCCGCCTCTCCTTGCTGCGACATCTTCATGTGCTCTGTGTTGTGGTTTGAGAAGGCGGCGCTTTGTGACGGCATGCCTGTGTCCGCGATTGCAATTGGTTGGGAGGAAGCAGTGACTAGCATAAACCTACTTGATAGGCTACAATGAGAAGGAAGGAAAACTGCGTTTCTTTATCGAACTTTTATCGAGCCTCTTTTTTTCTATTGCGCCACACGTCTATCGATCGATATATATTGTTATTGAATTATCCGCCAGCCCTATTTTATTTTAATAATGGCATCTTGTTTTCTCACAGGGCATCCTGTACGCTTACAGCATCAGCACCATCATCAAGACCACCATGAACATGTATATGTCGATGCAGCGGCCCATGACCAAGACGTCTGTCAAAGCACTTTGTCGTTTGGTGGAGTTGCTGAAGGTGTGTTTCTGCAACTTTAACAGTTCAAATTTTCCTTTTGCTTGCTGTAACGTTGGCAGTTTACATCACGTGACTCTCCTCCCAGGCTGTAGAGCACACATTTCACAGGAGGTCGATGGTTGTAGCGGATTCTGTTTCACATATCACTCTCCAGCTCCAGTCTCAGGCCCTCAATGCCATCAACACTGCAAAGGTAAACCCAAACAAAAAAAAAAAACTTGTGTAGTTTGTAAAATGCTGTTGTTGATTCGTTTTTTATTCTTCTTTACTAATTTATGTTTTTATCCAAAAAGAAAAGGGTGATCTCTGATAAAAAGTACAGTGAGCAGCGTCTGGACGTCCTTTCATCCTTGGTGCTTGCAGAAAACGCTTTGAGCGGGCCGAGCACAAAGGAGCGACGCCTCGTGGTATCTCTTGCTCTGTGTGTCGGCACTCAGCTGGTACGTCCAAAGATTGAACCGCAGCACAAACAGAAGTATTGCTGCTTCTTTTATGACCCTTTTCTATTTTCTTATTTTTGGTTACTTTACTTAGAAAACATTCAAAGATGAGGAGCTGCTCCCTCTGCAGGTCCTTCTGAAGAAGCTGGATTTGATCAGTGAGCTTAGTCAAAGGTGAGGTATTCAGTCAGGGTTAAGGAGGAAGGAGAGCGTGAGCATGAGTAGAAATGGTAAACTGCAGTGGCAAGAATGCTGCAAATACATGAATGATGCAAACTCTAAAACAGAACAAAAACAAATGCAACAGAAAAATGCTGCAATCATAGAAAATGGAAATAAAAAAAGGATGAAAGACAAATCCAGAGGAAAGTGCTCTTACTGGAGAAAATGTATAAAAGCAGAAAAAAATGCTGCAAATACCAAAAATGAAAAGTTGGACAATCTATCTTTGTTCATAAAATCAAGTGCGGAAAACCAGTAGTGTGGGTCTGTTGTTTTTAAGAAAACAAATGGCCATAATGCCATATAATGTTGCTAAACAGCAGCATATTTACCCTCTTTTTTTTTTTTCTCTCTAGCGTTTGTTCTATTGCATTTATTTTTGTTTTGCGAGAAGTTTGCACCTCTTTGACACCGTACTAAACCCCATTGTTACCAATACTGGCAATAATAACGGATATGGTTCATGTTTTTCATAGAAACCTTGAAATAAAGGGAAATTAGAAAATAATGGCATCAGAGAACAATAGCCTACTTTAGGCAGAAAAGCGTTTGTTCATTACGTTTATTCTATTTTTGCTAACATACAGCATATATGTCACATAAAGATGCTTCTTGTTGATGTGTATTCAATTTTGATACATGTGTAAAATTTCTTATCTGAACTGCTAAAAGCCAACCAGATTACCAGATCCATTAAAAGCTGCATTTTATTTGTCCTGCTCCGTTTGTTTATTTATTATTTATTTACCATTCATTTTTTAGGGTCAGGATCCAGTGTGACTGTAGTTTCCTTTACTGGCATCGAGCTGTCTTCCCTATCTACCTCGACGATGTGTATGACAATGCTGTAGATGCAGCACGGATGCATGTAAGAAGACTTTATTCCCAAATCATAATGTGATGCTAAAATGTATGGCCAGATTATTTGACTTGTCTTCCTTTGCTTTTTATAATAACCGTTGTCGCTCTGCCCTCCTCCTCCTTGTGTGAGCAGTACATGTTCAGTGCTCTAAGAGACAGCGTGCCATGCATGCTCCACGCTAAACACCTGGGGTCGTGTGACCAACTGCTGGAGTGCTTCGACAAGGAGATCATGGATGTGTTCAATGAGGTGAGGAGCATGAGTGGAAGGAGTTTAAAGGGATCGTTATGGTACTTTATCAAGCTCATCAAAAATATGAGTTGACCTTCTTTTTCTTCTATGAGCCAACGTGAGTTCTATAAACTTGTCAGTAACGAGTGTTGCATGTCCTGGCTTAAATCAGTTGTTCCGATACACATTACTTTGACCTGTTCTTTATATCCAGTGGAATACCAGGCAGGAACAGATCTTTGTCCCTCCATATGGAAACCTTCTCACTTCATTTGGCAACAGCTGCTCTGATTAGGATTGCAGGCATAACATTGTCTTTGTTGGGAATGGATTTATGATCATGGGGCCATTAGAGCTAAAAGGGGTTTAACATTTGCAGTTAAACAAAACATCCATCTTCTGTCACACTTTATCCCTGCTGGGGTCGCATTATTCTCAGGTTACGTGATGTTTATCTGTATTTCAGCTATTCTATTTCATTTTATCTTATCCTCTATTACCATTGCTTATTCTTTCTATTATCTTTATTAGACTCTTGTGAAAGTATTTCTTTGCTGGTGCGAAAAGTGAATGTTCTTCATGTGTATAACTCAAGGTCACTGCCTGAATGAAGACATTTATGTGTATTCCTGTATCATGCTGCAACTTAAAGCTTATTTATACGTAGAAACCAGGTCGTCTGCCTTTGTGTCACAGTGAACACAAAAGTGCCTCGCCCCTTCCACAGACTATATACTTTATATATCCCTTTGCATCTTTTCCTCCTTTTGGCACCTTCCTCTTCTTTTTGACTATAGAGCCAATGTAACGAGTACATTTCTCCACTGTGAGATCAGTAAAGTAAATCCTCATCATCAGAGTGATGGGAGATTATAACTGATGACATCTCCGCCTGCATTCGTTGCGAATAAAAAGTTCTACATCTTCAGCGGTTTATGTACGACGAACGATGAATAGAATATAGTGGATAAATGTCTCACAATAAATATATTTGTGTTATAATGGTCAAATGGTGTGCTTCAAAGTAAAGTAATATGTGCATGGCTTTTTGAAGGTTGAGATAAGATTAGGAGGGATGAAGAGTGGTGTTGGAAAGAATCCAATGGCAGCCCACTTCTTCCCAAAGGGATGGGTTAAATGCAGAGAATTAATTTTGTTGCTCTGTACTTGTTACAATGTAATAACAATATAATTGAATTACATATTAATTATATTAATTATTATATTATATTATTATATTATATATCAACAAAGTCACATGAGACCTAATGGTGATCTGCGTAAGTCTATATAACCACGTGACACCGGGATTCTTTACTATCTTCATGCGCAGGTTTGTGGTGAGCAGTTCTACAGACTTTTTTTCCATTAGCGCAGACCACGCTTCAATATTGGGCATTAATTAAAAAATATCTGCGACAAGCTCACTGCGATACACTGCTACGGGAGGATAACAAGCCCTTTACTCCCCACATATTCCTTTAGGGTTCTGGCATTATCTGTTGTAACTAGGGACTCCCTTTTTCTAATAAATAGCGAGGAAGACAGCAGAGGGGCATCATCCCTGACATGATTTGATAAGTTTGGGTGTTTGAACCTAACAATTTCCTCCTGCTTGCAGCATCTCCTCGATAAGCTGTGTAAGGAGATTGAGAAGGACCTACGTCTGTCTGTCCACACCCACCTGAAGCTGGATGACAGGAACCCTTTTAAAGTCGGCATGAAGGACTTGGCCCACTTCTTCTCTGTCAAACCCATCCGATTCTTCAACCGCTTCATTCACATCAAAGGTGCAGAAAAACTCAGTCCTTTTCAAAAGAATTTAATAAAGATTTCTCTGTGTTCTTGACACTTGTCGGCACATCCCAAAATAGACAACCAGAATCCAATGAACCTGTTTTCTATTAAACATTTCATAAAGCAAAGATAAGACACACGTTTCCATGTTATGTCCTGCTTCCTTCACAGATAGTGATCTTCCATCTATTTCATATCCGTTTGTTTGGCCCAACACAGACACCCACTCTCAATTAAACTCAATTCACACCTTATTCTTAAGCCTTTCTGCAAACCCAAGAAGTGAACCTTTCTTCATTGGGAGGATGGACCTTTAAGTTCCTACAAGGTTGAATACAAGTAAAAGAATCAGAGTCTGAGGGATTCACGTATTTTCTTTATCTGCAAATACTCTGGTAGTTTTGAAGGCCTAGAAAGACCAAAGAAAAGCAAGTTTTGAGAAAGTCCATGGATGTTTTAGAATGTTCTAATTTTAGCTGTAGTGATAGTGTAGTACTTTCAATTCAAAATAACTTATTGATCCTTAAGGGAAATTAAATCTTGTAACTTGAATTTTTGTTAAAGAGATGTTGCTAACTGTAAGCTAAAAGGATCTGTTTTGTCTTCTTTATCAGCTTATTGATCTTTTTTAAACAGAAGAGATGACACTCTCCTCAACAAGCATGGCAGTCTCTCCATCAGTTTATACACCTAACCTTCAAATGTGGGAACAGTGTTGGTTATTCTTCTGTTTCTCAAAATACCTCCCAGGTCCCAACAACAGACAGCACAAACCTGACCTTGCAGGCGTAGAATACAGACCAAATATTTTTAACTGAGTTTTAATAAATGAGAAGAGAAAAGCTACTTTCAAATTTTCCCAAAACAGGATTTGATGTTTGCCTTTTATGCTTCTTTTTTTTTTCTAATCTTTCTTCAGCTTATGTGACCCACTACTTGGATAAAACTTTCTACAACCTGACCACTGTTGCTCTGCATGACTGGGCCACCTACAGTGAGATGAGGAACCTGGCAACGCAGCGCTACGGGCTCACAATGACTGAGGCTCACCTGCCCAGCCAGACACTGGAGCAGGTCAGGGGGGGTTTGTTAGTCATACATGAGGGATGGCAAAGCTCTCAGTGAAATACACCATCAACTGTAACCCATCTGCTCTCATCAGGGTTTGGATGTTCTGGAGATCATGAGAAACATACACGTTTTTGTCTCCCGCTACCTCTATAACCTGAACAACCAGGTATGGTTCAAACAGCCCTGTGGCCTCTGGTCTGCCCACAGCAGCCTCTGAACTCACGTGTCCTTCCAGATCTTCATAGAAAAAGCAAGCAACAACAAGCATCTCAACACAATCAACATCCGTCACGTCGCAAACTCCATCCGGACCCACGGAACGGGCATCATGAACACCACGGTGAGTTTTCCTCCACATGTTGGTCTGAACTTTGATTTAACTGGAATCAATAAAGATGTTTGCGTCTGTTGTTTTATCCTCTCAGGTTAATTTCACCTACCAGTTCCTGCGGAAAAAGTTCTACATCTTCAGCCAGTTTATGTATGACGAACACATCAAGTCCCGACTCATTAAGGACATTCGCTTTTTCAGGGAAATAAAGGATCAGTCGGACCATAAGGTATTTTTTCTTTTTTTTTCTCTGGCAGTAAGTTTAAAAACAGAGTAGATCTTTCAGGAATGTTCAGTTTGGTGTTTCTATTGTCTGTTTTTAACAGAACTCTTTACACATATTTTCCAAACATGGATTGTCTCGCTAGCAATCAGCATTTAGCTCCCTTCCCACTGTCAAAAGCTGGGTCTAACCCCTAGCTGGAAAGCTACGTGGCCTCTGTCCCCCCCGCCGCTGCATGTCTGGTGATACCATCATGCAGGGTTAGTGCTGATGATGTCACCTGTCTGACATAAATCACTAAATGTAACAAAGGAGAGCAGCATGTAAGGAAGCCAGAGCGTAGTCAGTATTCTTTATTATTTTGCTCTTTTATCCATCTAAATCCCTTTCACCAGCAATCTGCCGTGTTTATTGAATGTAAACAGAGTTGTTTCGGCTTGTTAGATCAGAAGCGAATGGTCGCGATGTGTTGATGTCCATACGTTGCGTTCAATATTGTCACGTAATTTATGCCAATCAGGCACGAGGTAATTTTTAACACGGGTCACTTGCCAAGTCGTTTGACCAGGGTAGACACGAGTTGAAACAGGTTGGAAACAGTGGGAAAGGGGTATTATTTGTAAAAAAAAAAATATGTTAAAAGTATGAAGTGTATTTGTAATTAGGCCTTCTGGGTTTGTAGAGCCACGTTCTGTATCTCGGCCTGCATTGCATATCTGAACACTAAAATCTTTGCAATTCTTTGCAAATGAACTTAATTACAGTCAAACTGGATCTAAGTCTTCTCAAAGACCTTCAACCGGATTAGAGTCCTGCTTTAAACTGGATCATTCTAACCCGCCGTTCTATTTTAGCTTAGACTGCATCATTAGTTCTCCACCACTGTTTTACAGGTTTTCTTCCACAGTTTTATTGCATTTGACATAATTGATCTTTCCCTAAACTCGGATCAGTTTCACTCTCCCTGCTGAATAAAAACATCCCCTCAGCCTCATGCTGCTGACCTCATGCTTCACCAAGGAGAGGGTACATTGGGGTTGATGTACAGGCTAAGATTCCCACAGCTTATCGCGTTTTTGCCTGTTTGCTAAAGAAAATTATGTGTTGAGCTCATCATGAGAACCTTTTAAAGGTTGTTTATAAAACTAAGGGATCAGTTCATATTCTGCAATATTTTAAATAGTTCCAATAAGATCCACAAGTTTGACTGTCCCTAATTACTTATTTAAATGCACCCTGTAGTAAATTAGTCATCTTCAAAACACACTGAGCGGTACTGGGTACAGACAATGTGATGGTTTACTGGGACTTTAAGCACCAGGGTTTTGCTGACCTAGTTTGATGTGAATGTTATGATCATAAGTCACTGGATGAAAACTTTGTTCTGAAACATTAATGACTAAGACTATGATGTGTTTTTGATTTAATGGCAATATATGTCATCATGACCTGTAACAAAGGTTTTTAATTAAATATATAAAAAATATGTTTTGAAAGGGACTCTCCCCCGGTAGGATAAAAATAATTGGACTTAACCGAAGAAAAAACACTTAAAATGATGTAAAGAAATTATGGGCTTGGGGGAGGAGCCCACCAGCCCCCTGAGTGTATAAAAGAGAAGCATTTTCAACATCTTGTCAGTTGTTCACCGGTGATCAGCTCATGTGGTTGCTTTGTATTTTGCAATAAAACCGCGTTGGACCTGGACGCAGCTGCTTCTGCCTATTTTTTGATCATTGTTTTGAGACTATTCTACAGCTTTTAAGGACTTTGAATTTTTATAAAACTTAGCACCAATTTTAAGCCGTTAAGAAGACAGTTTCCACAACAACCCCACACTTTTTTGTTTTTCATTAATAAATACCTTTACTTTTCACCTCTTGTTTATGATTATTTTAACACAATCAAAATGTAAACTAGTAGTTGTTTGTTGTATGCTGCAGTATCCTTTTGAGCGTGCAGAGAAGTTTAACCGTGGCATCAGAAAGCTCGGCCTCACCCCTGATGGACAGAGCTACCTGGATCAGTTCAGACAGCTCATCAGTCAGATCGGTGAGGAGTTTCTCATCACATTAAAAGTCAGACTTCCATCAGGTTAAGGCAGTGCCCTTTTAACTCATTTTCTCTCAGGCAACGCTATGGGCTACGTGCGTATGATCCGTTCCGGAGGCCTTCACTGCTGCAGCAGTGCGATCAGGTAAAAAAAAAAAAAAAAGAAAAGAAAAGGGTATTTTACACACCCAATTTTTTTAAAGAAGATGTTTTTTCTATTTTACTGAATCGTTGTTTCTGGATCATTTCCAGATTTGTACCAGACCTGGAAGATATAGTCAACTTTGAAGAGCTAGTGAAGGAGGAAGGACTATCGGAGGAAACCCAGAGATCTGCCTGGTAGAAACTTAAAACACTTCCAGATTTCCCCAAAACAACCGCTAGGCAGTGGCAGCTGGTGGATTTTTCTCCACGGGGGGCTATAAATTCAAAATAGATGTATACCAAAAACCAATCAAAGATATACTAAGTTATCACACCAGAATATTTATATGAATGCCAACAACAAAATACAACATTATAAAAAGACTTCATAAAAACAAAAAACATAATGTACAGGTTTTTTGCACATAAATGTTGCCATTCTAAGGCTTTGTGAAGGCAAATCAGTGTTGCATGGTCCAATATGGTGTCACAAACCTTAAAATATAATGTACCAGTATAATAATGGAGAATTAGTCAGCTTTATATTTTTTTTATATATAAAAACTATTTTCTGAGAATGTGCTTATTTAGGAGCAACTATGCATATTAACAAACATCTAGAATAAGTATACTATATCATATTATTTTCCATGATTAACATGGAAAATAATATGATGTTGTATACAGATATCCTGATGTTTGAAAAAGGAGGCAGGCAGTCAAGGCAGCAGAATAAAGCGAATAAAGTAGTGCCTCGCTGCATGCAGTTCGCCAAGCCTTGTAGATAAAGAAGGTCCTGGAAAAAGACAGCGTACCGTCTCTATCTGTCTTTGTATTCCTGATTAATTTTGATGTTCGACTGATCAGGTCCAAACGCTTTCACCTCCAGCTTCTCCTGCCAAGTTTGCTTCCCTGCCGCCACTCGGCCTGTCAGTCACCCACAACAACTGGGACGACAGTTCCTGTCAGATGGCAGAGCTTGGGGTACAGGAGAGCTTCGCCCTCGAGCTCTTCTATCTTTTTTTCAGAGGAGCTGATGACGATGTACAACTTTTAATCAGAGTCTATGGCCATAGATTTGTGCGCCATCACCGATCCGACGAAAAATTAAATGACACTTTACTTGTCATTAAAGATTAAATATTTATCTTGCACATCTAAAAAATACATTGTTTTATATTTTTGAAATATTTTAATTTTATAATAAACCAAGGTCATTAGGTGGCTGGGGCAGCACCCTAGCGCCCTCTATTGGCCAGCCGTCACTGCCGTTAGGTGTTGTAAAGGAAACCTCTGTATTTACACCTTGAAGCTTTCTCTCTTTGGCGCTTTTCCTGAGAATAGATCACTGCTGACAAACTCTTTAAATAACACTTCATAATGTATATGCATTAAATAACCATGAGACAGGACAACAGATTTTGACAGTGTTGTGGAGTTTTTCAATTGTCAAGGAGTCAGAAAGACGAGATTGATTTTTTCTTTTGTTGAAACAATGTCTAAGTTTTTTCAAACAGAGTTCAAAAGCACATGGTCTGAGAGTCCATGAACATGTACATCAGATATCAGATTGGATAACAATTAAAACTCACACACAAACTTGGGCGGAACCATGGGCAGGAAACAGGTTTGGATACAATCAACAGAGCAAGGGGTCCTTCCAGACTGTTAGGAGCTCCTTGAGCAATAAAACCTCACCTCCCTAATGATAGTAAATTCTACAACTGGGAAGCTGAGATGAAGGGAGTTGCTGATAAGGGATCAGGTCATCTGAGGGTCAGTGTACTTTAAGCAAATAGTTTTACTCAGTGAAACTCTATCTATTTAACTCTTTTTACAATCTCTATATATTCAGTTCGGCCCCTCCAACTATAAGCTATATCAAAAAGGAAAGTTTTAAGCCTACCCTCAAAAATAGACAGGGTGTCTGCCTCACAGACTAAAACTAGTAGTTGGTTCCACAGGAGAGGAGCCTGATGACTAAAAGATCTGCCTCCCATTCTACTTTTAGAAATTCTAGGAACCACTAGTAAACCTGCAGATTGAGAGCGAAGTGCTCTGTTAGGGACATGAGAAACAATCATATCTTGATATAAGATGAAGATTGGCAATTTAAGGCTTTATATGTGAGAAGGAGGATTTTAAATTCTATTCTGGATTTAACAGGAAGCCAATGAAGAGAAGCTAAAATAGGAGAGACATGATCTCTCTTTTTAATTTTCATCAGAACTCTGGGTGCAGCATTTTGGATCAGCTGAATTATTTTAGCTACAGTTTGTGGACTTCCTGATAGTAAAGAATTACAGTAGTCCAGCCTTGAGGTAACAAATGCATGGACTAGTTTCTCAGCATCAACCCTGGACAGGGTATTTCTCATTTTTGCAATATTCCTCAGATGAAAGAAGGAAATTCTAAAAATTTAAATGACAGGTCCTGATCAAGAACAACACAAAGATTTTTTACTTTATTATCTGAAATCAGTTTAATCCCATCCAAATTAAGTGACTGACTAATCAGCTTCTTTTTCAAAGACTCTGGTCCAAAGACTACCAACCGGATTTGAATCTCGTGAAGTGGCCCCAAATCATAGGTCAAGAAGCATTTTATACAACATCAGTGTGCCACATCATTACACCATACAAGTTTGCAGATGAGGAGACACCCATGGCTCCAGCCTTATCAAAATATTCCACTTTGTTCTTAGATCAAGGACACCGCGCTCATTCCATTCCCAAATCTTTGCCATGTGCATAATGAAGATGATAACTGCATATCCAGAAAGAGGAACTGTCCTAATTAGATAAACTACTTGGGAAAATTTTAGTTGACACGCAATAGCCAGTTAATATTGGGGGTTAACAGACTCACACGTCATCAATAATAATAATAATCCTAAAAGTTTAATTCCTTAGTTTGTCTGCAGGGGGCAGCATATCCATTAAAATTAACAGCGCATCACTTAATAGACATTGTGTGTTATTCCCAGCGTCCTGGATTCAGTGTTGAGCGATCTGACCAGTAACTCTGCTGAGGGGACAGAATACTTCAAGAAGCTGGTGTCCGTTTTTGCCCCCGAGTTCCGTAGTGCAAAGAATATGCACCTGAGGAACTTCTACATGATTGTACCTCCTCTGGTCAGTGCTGCAGGATTTTGTTTCTCGAAATGTTTCATCTCTCAACAAAAACCCAAACTAAACCCCTCAAATCTCTCTTACAGACTGTGAATTTCGTGGAGCACTCAATCAGTTGTAAAGAAAAGCTCAACAAGAAAAACAAAACTGGAGCAGCTTTTACAGACGACGGCTTTGCAATGGGTCAGCACTATTGGAGAGAAACAGAATCATGGCAGTCGTTTTTTTTATGTCGGCTCCTGACCTTTGCCTCTTTCCTCTCAGGTGTTGCATACATTCTCAAGCTGCTGGACCAGTACCTGGAGTTCGACTCTCTGCACTGGTTCCAAGCGGTCCGGGATAAGTACAGAAAAGAGCTGAGTGCGGTGGTGAAGGAACAGACCGTACAGTCCGCTGGTCAGGATGAGAAGTTGGTTCAGACGATGAATCTCACCCAGAAGAGGCTGGATGTCTACCTGCAGGTGTGGAGCTCAAACACTTTTTAGAAATGCCCGCAATACCTCTCAGAGGTAACAGAATAGGAATTAATTGTGAAATAGAACAAAAAAGTATTTTGTTTTTGTTTTTTTTATTTTACAAATGAAAAGTTGAAGAGGAGGGGCTTACAGTACCCTGGTGGATCTAAAGGAAATGTTGCTTAACCAATTTCCACCAGAAGTTGCTGATTACCAATCTTTAGGAATAAACGGCTCCATTCATTGGTGGCCTTTGGCTTCTTAGAGAAAGTTGGGGAACAAAGTAGTTTTTTTTTTTTCAATCAAAGATATGAACAGCTGCCTAACAAGAAGGGAGAAGATAATAGATTTCAGGAGGAACAGATTAAACACATTGCCCTCGTCAGAAAGGAAGTGTATTATAAATACCTGGATGTTTTTCTGGAGATGAGATGGGACAGAGCAGAATGTTTTTCCTAAAGGAGCTTGGCTCTGAGATGTTACACATCTTCGTTAAGTCTGTTGTGGAGTCTGATTTCTTCTGCTGGGGTAACGGCATCAGAGCAAGTGACTTGAGGAAGCTCAACAAGCCGATAAACAAGGCCGACTCTGTTCTAGGAACTCCTCTAGAACCTCTGGAGATGATCTCACAAAGAACTCATAAAATTAAAGTCTAGGTATTTTAAACGGTGTGTTCAGTCAAAAGTTTCTTCAGATCCTCTGCAAGACCGACCACTACAGAAGATCATCCTGCCTACAGCTAACGACATCTACAATAACTAAACTAATAATAATAAAGTATGTTTTTACATAATTGAAGTGTTGTAGTTGTTCCCTTTGATGAAACATGGCGGTGGCCTTGTCATGGTAGGGGAACACTTCAACAGGGACTGAGTAGCTGGTCGGAGTGAATAAGCTTAATACATCCATGTATCCTGTTTTATTGGTGTGAAATAAAATCAATTTCAGTTCTTTAATGAGAAAAGGTAAAGTAAGCCTCTAATAAAACATGTAATACTTGCATTTATTTTACTGTTATCTTGTTGTTACAGGAGTTCGAGCTACTTTACTTCTCATTAAGCAGCGCAAGGATCTTCTTCAGAGCGGACCAAACAGCAGCAGAGGAAACCCAGGAGAAGAAAGGTAAAGGTTAGTCCACTGCTCAGGTTAAACCACAGCCAGCCGCTGTACTGGGCTCTCTGTAAATAACCTTTTAGATGGAAAGCTAAATTTACTCTGGTATTTTCTTCTTAAGATGAACCGGGGAAAGAAGGAACTTCACCAGAAGGATCAATGGCTGCTGACTCTTCAAAGTGAGCTTCATGTGAAACCAGAGCTTGTTTTTTTTTATTACTCTGTAGAGAAACTATCTTGAAGACAGAAAATGAGGCGGACCCACCTGATGTCAGTTTGTGGATAAAAGACTATAAAAACTAGGAATGTTTTTATTTCCCATGGTCAACTTAAAGACTGTACCTCCAGGAAATGTCTCTTCATATTCCTTTTTTTTAACATCCAGTAATGTATAGTTTGTTTTTACAAGCACCTTCTTCTTGTACTAATTTAAAATGTTTTTTTTTTCTTAAATCTTTCACCCAAGTTTTCATAATGAGTTCGAAATGTTTTTTCTTCATTGAGCATTTGTACAAAAGAATCATCTGTGCCTTTGTAGAGTTGATTTGTTTACAAGCAGCGGTTTCCAAACTCTGGGGTAGCTGTCAATTTTCTTTGTCGAAAATTGCAATTCTTTTTTTTTGTACATTTTTGTTGAAAATATTTTCTGAATTTGGTTTTATTTTCTGGACGTTGCTTAAAATTGTTCAAAATCACACTGGTGGCTTCCAGTTTCAGATAACTTCACTATTCTTCTGAAACCCAAACGAGCCGTAATTTACTTTGGATTTTCGCCAAATGTTTAAGTAAATGCTTTTAATACTGAAGAAAATAAATGTTCAAAGTTTTTTTTTTTTTTTACAAGCCCAAACTAATACAAAGTCTAACAACCCCAAGGTTTTAACTGAAAAAAATAATTGAATTATAACCCTATTTGTTTAGAAATATGTTTCTTCCTTCTAGTGGGACATTAACACAAATATCCACAATATTCTATTTTTATACCTGCCTAGACATGAAGGGAGGTAATTACCTCCCTACATGTTTTGTGCAAATGTGGCTCATATGAAAAAATAAACCCCAAAAATTATTTCCTTGTCATTTAAATTTAATCTTTGAAAACTGGTAGTACTAAAGGCTTTATATACAAACGGTTTATAAAGTAAATGTGCTCCTTTAATGTCTGAAAATGCAGATTCTGCTAATGATTAAGATGTGGAAAAATAAAATATTTGAATAAATGTAAAAAAAAAAAAGATTGCATCGAGTTCAGTGATTTTAAATTCCCTTAAATATACACTATATTGCCAAAAGTATTTGCTCACCCATCCAAATTATTGGAATCAGGTGTTCCAATCACTTCCATGGCCACAGGTGTATAAATTCAAGCACCTAGGCATGCAGACTGTTTTTACAAACATTTGTGAAAGAATGGGTCGCTCTCAGGAGCTCAGTGAATTCCAGCGTGGAACTGTGATAGGATGCCACCTGTGCAACAAATCCAGTCGTGAAATTTCCTCGCTCCTAAATATTCCACAGTCAACTGTCAGCTGTATTATAAGAAAATGGAAGTGTTTGGGAACGACAGCAACTCAGCCACGAAGTGGTAGGCCACGTAAACTGACGGAGCGGGGTCAGCGGATGCTGACGCGCATAGTGCGAAGAGGTCGCCAACTTTCTGCAGAGTCAATCACTACAGACCTCCAAACTTCATGTGGCCTTCAGATTAGCTCAAGAACAGTGCGCAGAGAGCTTCATGGAATGGGTTTCCATGGTCGAGCAGCTGCATCCAAGCCATACATCACCAAGTGCAATGCAAAGCGTCGGATGCGGTGGTGTAAAGCACGCCGCCACTGGACTCTAGAGCAGTGGAGACGCGTTCTCTGGAGTGACGAATCGCGCTTCTCCATCTGGCAATCTGATGGACGGGTCTGGGTTTGGCGGTTGCCAGGAGAACGGTACTTGTCTGACTGCATTGTGCCAAGTGTAAAGTTTGTTGGAGGGGGGATTATGGTGTGGGGTTGTTTTTCAGGAGCTGGGCTTGGCCCCTTAGTTCCAGTGAAACGAACTCTGAATGCTTCAGCATCCCAAGACATTTTGGACAATTCCATGCTCCCAACTTTGTGGGAACAGTTTGGAGCTGGCCCCTTCCTCTTCCAACATTACTGTGCACCAGTGCACAAAGCAAGGTCCATAAAGACATGGATGACAGAGTCTGGTGTGGATGAACTTGACTGGCCTGCACAGAGTCCTGACCTCAACCCGATAGAACACCTTTGGGATGAATTAGAGCGGAGACTGAGAGCCAGGCCTTCTCGTCCAACATCAGTGTGCGACCTCACAAATGCGCTTCTGGAAGAATGGTCAAAAATTCCCATAAACACACTCCTAAACCTTGTGGACAGCCTTCCCAGAAGAGTTGAAGCTGTTCTAGCTGCAAAGGGTGGACCGACGTCATATTGAACCCTATGGATTAGGAACGGGATGTCACTTAAGCTCATATGTGAGTCAAGGCAGGTGAGCAAATACTTTTGGCAATATAGTGTATGTGAGTTTGTTGTCATTCATATATCCAGGATCAAGTTGCAGTGACATCATGGGTTTTATAGGTCTGCTATTTGATCTTCCAGCGAGATGCAGTCTAAACTGCTTCCTTTCAAATCAATTAACAGAACAGACACTTAAACAAGCCTGGATAACATAAAGAATAAGATATTTTGGTTATGATCCATTTTTTTCACAAGTAAGGCAAGAGTTGGGAACATTTTTCTAATTGCAGATCATTTGGAGGGTAAAAAAAACATGCCTTGAAGAAAATGTGACTGATGTGTAATAAACAGCTTAGAAAAGCTTTGAATAAAAAGTTTTACCAGTTTTGTTCAGACTGAATTAAAATGTGTCCCTTAACTACCTCGGTTGTTCTCCCTTTAAAACTGGGGAATCTGAGATTAAGACCTTTCCTTTATAAACATTTTATTAGTATTGTTTTGATGTAAGTGCCAAAATGACACTGTCCAGCAGTTCAAGAAAATTTTGTACATCCACATATCCATGCTCGCCTCATAAAAAAACCAACAAAGTACAAGGCAGGGCAAAATTTCTTTCAAAATAGATATTGTAAATATATATATATATACAGACATATATATATGTAGCAATCATATATACACATTCGTACATATAGTTTATGTGATGCAAAACAATGTACACATTTTCTTTACAAATATTGTAACAAAGACTGGAAAGTGTTTCACTTGTTCGAGCCAAGTCGTGTTATTTGTTTAACCTCTGGGAGGATTTCTCCATGTTTGTGGAGAATGAAGTTGCTTCTCAGGGTTTATGTCCATGTTTTGCCGGCACACGGAGATGGAGAAAACCGATGGCTTAGGTGGAGAAGTCAGAGGAACTGATGTGGTTTGATGAAACGGGAAGAGTCTGTTAGGAGGAAGGTGATGCAGAAACCAGATCCGAGATGAAAAAAAAGATGAAAATGTGTGATGGGAGTGTTGATATAAAAAAGCACAAACAAATTTTGTGGTCTTTTATTACTAAATATAGTGCAACAATAAACATTGCATTTCTTTCATCCCTTCACTTTTGTTTGAGGATGTCAGCTTTGCTTTTTTTCTCTCCACCTTTCTGTCTTCTGAAAACTTGCTGTAAATAAAAGGTTGGACCTTTGTTCTGTTATAGTCCTACATAACAGTTTGTCCTCCTCTCTGGTAGTAAACAGGCTTTAGAGACGTAAACATAACACAGACCCTGCTCAAAAGACAATGAAAAAAAAAGCAACGGGAGAACAGAGAATAAAAATGGAACAAGTGTGTTTTTCTGGCAGAATGTAAATTGATACAGGCAGGACAGTTTTAATGACGATGAAGACCCCTGCAGTCCGTAAGCCAAAACCTCCAGGAATAAAAACCCAAACTGTGTGCGTCACAGCGCCCCCTCCTGAACAGCGGTGCTGTGTGCGGGAACAGCTGTAGCCTTTGGATTGTTCGGGCCTTAGAAGGCCTGCTGGGCTGGATTGTAGTTGAATGTTGATGGCACGTGAGGCCTTTCTTCCAGCTTGTCATATTCCAGATGAAACTCCTTAGAAATGCAGGGATAGTTTTAGACACAATCTCTCTAAAGCACATCATGAGTCAGCACGGCTAACAATCAGGAGTTTGTCTCTCACCTTGGCTACTTTCCTCCAGTTAAGACAGTCAAAGAAGTAGTAGGTGCCCCTCTCATAGGTGTTGGTCTTGAGTGTGGGCTCCATGCCGGGCGCCCTCGTTATCCAAACCCGCTCCTCTTTGTGGTATCTCCAGTCCCGATTAAAGCTAGATAGTGCAAGGAATAAGAGAAAAAAACAAACATATGGAATCATTTTTGGAGATTTCTAGTAAATTATATATATTTTTTATTATTAATATATAAAGTCGTGTTTACATTTCACAAAATGTCATACAGAACAAAGAGGCTCTGTTGTAACAACACGGTATGAATTAGTCAAGTATAAAGCATTGATGCACCAGTCTGAATTTATTGCCCAATTATTGTGTTCAGTTTAAACGATTCAAATTCCTCTAAAACAAAGAATCTTAATTGTTTAATAGACGTTTTCTAGTCTTTCTGCCATGAGGCCTCTGTTATCTACCTAATATTAAAAGAAGAGGTAAAGTCACAGTGATACAGCCCCTGTCTGATTCAAAAACAGATAAAATGATTAGAGTTCAGATTATAAACTATTCTGAAGTCCTAATCTCATGTTTTCATTTAAAAAAGGACTGATGGTGAGAAGTCTCCTTGAAAGGATGTCAGGGACCTCAGTGGGGAATATCCAACATGTTGGATTATTTTAACCTGATATCCTAACACGTGTCTCTACTCTTAATGGATTTTCTTAATCTTTTCTTCTTTGTTGAAATGAGTCCACATTAGGGATGGAACGGTTTTTGAAAACCATCTGGACCGTTCGGTTCAACTGTCTCGGTTCGGTTTGCGTGTGTTTCGTTTGGTTCATGCGCTACTACTTTTTCTCATAGGCGAAGCGTGTACACTCCAGAGCAGAAGGTGGTGGTACTGCGACCAAAGCCAACCACTAGTAGTAAACAAGAAGAAGCGAAGCAGTGTAGCCGGATGTATCAGAAAAAAAAAATCAGTTGTTGTGGAGAATTGTGTGGGTATGGCGAGTGGGAAAGAACAGGAGTTGGAAGATGCGCCAGCAGCACTTTATAGGTCTGCTGTATGTTTAGAGTGACCTACGATGACGGACCCCTCCGCTCCGCCCGGCTGCGCTCCAGACCGCCTGCACAAAGCAAAGCCTACAGCCTCCGCTGTGGCTACCGTCCGCTCCGCTCTGAGTTCCTTGGAGATCGTAGAGGGCATGCGCGAGATGATTAAATTCAAAGCAGCAAAACATACGGAAATGATCCATGGTTTCCGCGAATCATTAAAAATAATTACAATTCATAAATTTTTTTGGGATGTTTTCATTAATTTCATCAAAGCTACAGTGTGTAATTTTCAGCGACATTTAGCGGTCAGACTGCAGACCGCAGCAACATGAACATCTCCCCCCCTACCGCTTCTCCCCCCCAACAGTACGGCGAGCGTTACGGGACAAAATGTCTTCCACAACGTCCGCATCACCTACCTTCTCAAGTGATGAGGTTTGTTTACGTAGATAATTTTACAGATAGTATTTCATTAGTCTGTTTAGGGTATAGATTTCATGTAGACTTAAGATAATAAATATACCTGTTATTTTTTCTACATCGTTGTGACGTTTTGGTGAGCTGCTTTGCATGGTGATATAAACGCAATCGCTAGTTTGTTGGCTCTGTGCTGCCGTAGCGCAAAGATGTCTGCCTCCATGGCTGCGAGCCCGCTCCTATGTAATTATAAATAACGAATTCTAAGGCAACGCAAATATTAAGGTTAAGCGGCTGAGCTCGTAGGTGATGATAAATAACATAGTTATGTATAATATATTACATTTCTGACTGTATATCCCTTTAATTATTACACACTGTAGCTTTAAAAAAAAAAATTTTTCATTAATTTTTTTTTTTTTCGGTGTAACAATAAACATATACCGAACCGAACCGAAAACCGTGACCACGAAACCGTGAACCGAATCGAACCGTGGATTTTGTGAACCGTTCCACCCCTAGTCCACATGTATTTCCACTACATTTTCCTGCCTCGTACTGTTTATTTATGGCAGACTCATTTTGATCTTAGAGGCTTTCTGAGATCTTTTGTCTAAAATATAAATTGTTCCTGATTGAAATCTGTTGGTGTTGTACTTGTCATGTGGCAGTATAAAACACATAGTGGGATCAAACCTGTTCTATGATTTTGCATCGTCATGTTTGGGATTTTCAGGCAGGGAAAAAAATCCAATAATTTAAAAATCTTGCCATGTGAACCAGACAGACCAAAATTTCTGTGTCTTAGAAATTGCACTTCAAATTGGAAATATACTGCAATTGCAATTGATTGCCTGGCTCTGATATAGATTACCGAGAGGTATTGGTTACTTACAGCTCCACCGCTGCCAGGATCTGAAGTAAGTCCCCTCCATTCATGTAGTACAGGTAGAACAACAGATCTTCACCATATCGAGCCAACTTAATGGCAGCTAACTAAACAAAGGACAGTTAAAAATAGGTTATGTTATTTTTTTTATAATCTCAAAATGAAAAACAAACTACGGCTTTGTTGAGGTGCTCATAGTTACCTTGTCCCTTATATGGATGTTGGTCAAATACTCAGATGGAACATGAAAATCTAAAAAAGATACAAGTTATTTTATTATAATCCTAACAGAACACCCGTACATCAGCCATCATACTCCTTAAACCTTTTCATGAGTTCAATATTTACAATTACCAACTTCAATGTATTTTATTCGGATTTTACTTGAAAGACCAACACAAACTAGTTCATTATGTTTTTTATAGGTTTTTGCCACACAAATAAAATATCTTCAACTGCTATTTAGTGACTTTGGAGGAGCAGCAAAGATCCTCAACTCACATACACTGCAAAAACAATCCAGAAATAAGTAAAAAATGGCTTAAATTAAGTATATTTAGCCTTAATTTGAGCAGGTAAATAAGATGATTTGCCAATGGAATGAGTATTTTCACTCTTAAAATAAGATAGTTAGATAATATTTACTTGAAATAAGACGATAAAATAGTTTTGTCTTATTTTAAAAGGAAATTGTCTTGTTCCATTGGCAAAGTGTCTTACTTACCTCCTCAAATCAAGGAAAAACACACTTATTTTAAGAAAAAATAACTTATTGAGATTTATATTTTTTGCAGTGCATGGGAGAGTCTGTTGACATTTATTAGTCATGTGCTCCAGTGATATGTGGACAGATAACAGGAATAAAGCCAGAGGTAGTCCTGGTAGCACTTTGTCTGAGATGGCTGGAGCTAAATAGAAAAGGTCTGGGCAAACATATGTTAGAGGCTGCAGCACGGTCCGAAATTAATGCTACGTTCATACGCTGGTGATCATTCTCAGTCATCCAGGTCATAGTCATTCAAAAAAGTAAAAAAAACAATCCACTGGACTTGGTTTCCAAGTTTGAAGACGTTTCGCTTCCCATCCAGGAAGCTTTTTAATTCAAAATGGCTTCCTGGTTGGGATGCAATACGTCTTCAAACTTGGAAACCAAGTCCAGTGGATTGTCTATGAACTTTTTTGGAATGGCTACTTCATACCTAACGGGTTTCTGGCAGCAAAAATGCACCTGCTGCTTAATTTTTGATGCTCGTCTACATTAAGGTCAGATGCATCTCAAGAGCACCTTTGACACTCCTGAGCTATGGACCTCCATAGCAGCCAATACTTAACTGAATTCAGTTCATTTATATAGCGCCAATTTACAACACGTCATCTCAAGGCATTTTACAGTTCACCAGATCATACAGTCAAACTTATTCAGTTTCTATCTAAGGAAAACAAGTTTATTACATCAACTCATTGACTCAAAGGCAATCCCTCACACCAAGCATGCTTGTAGTGACAGTGGAGAGGAAAAACCTCCTTTTAACACGAAGAAACCTCCAGCAGAACCAGACTCAGTGTGAGCGGCCATCTGCAGAGGCCGACTGGGGTTCAAGGAGACAGAAGCAGAGATACAAAAGGAACTTGTCAACCAGTTCCACAGGCGGTTGTATCACTATCATATCAGAAATGAAAAAGTAGCATTAGGACAACCCACCTAAAACACACAGGGCTGAGGTACTTAAAAAGCATGATGGAGAACCACAGTGTAATTACATACAGACCTAAATATACTTAAGAATCTGTGGGAAGACTTTAAAAATGATGTTTTTAAATACAATCTATTAAGTGTGACTGAGCCTCAGCTATTCCAGATAGGAAAATTGATTTCAGCCTCTTGAGGTCCAAAGCTGGTAGAGAAGTGTAATCCACTTTACAAACATTTACTACTTTGTGTTGATCTGTCATATAAATACCAATAAAATGCATTGAAGTTTGGGGTTGTGACATGAACGAATCTGGAAAGGTCCAAGCAAGGTATAGTACTAACAAAAAAAACAACTTTTGTTGCCGAGACAGTTCTGAATCTAACCGTTAATAGCCACTGTCTTACCAATGTCTTGAGGTCGACATGGTGCCGACGCCCAGGGAGAGGCAAACTTTGGATATAGGTTTCTGTCAAACAGGAAAAGTTTCATAATTCCCATTAATAACAGAGAGTGAATGACGGAGGTTAATGCAGAGACTGCCTCTTACTCTGGTGAATTTAAGTTGAGTCCCAGTGTTGTGAGGTCACTTCCTAGTGCCAGATGCACCATCCCTGGATCAGTCTCAGCAGCCCGGATAAATGTCAGGAGGCCCACCATGCCGAATTGGTCCGTTACCATTCCTGAGGGAATGTTCGTCACCCGACCTGCAGCAGAGGAGCGACCCAGATTCACCAAACCACAGATCTGCAGTGGAGTGGTGATCTACAGAAAATACTTACTGTGAAACCAAATCCACATTTCTACACTGTAATTGTGCACAAATAAGAGAGCAAACCAAGCCTTTAAAAGTTATCCTGAAATATGTTCAAACTTATACTGCTTTGGTCTGTTCACAGTGACCTATCCTATCTTAAAGTTATGAAAGCCTAAATGCAGGGTAGCGAGCCCAACTGTCTCACCCAAGTTGTGTGATTAAGAAGGGATGTCTCAGAGGAATTGGAGCGATACGATTGGCTGAGAAGTCTCACCATCGGGCAACACCTGGATCCCTTTCTTCTGGTTGTTGTTCTGTGCTGAGGTTGTCTTGTCTCCAGGGAACTTCGGCCCATCTGTGCTAGATGTGCTCTTGCTTGTTGAGTTCAAGTTCTAAAAAAGGAAATTGAAAAATAAAATTAGAGTACTTTTTGAACTGTGTAGCCCTCACAAAAAACCCCAAAGCAAAACAAGAAAAGAACACCAGGGTGGATACAGCAATGGCTCTAACTTACAGTTTTACTGTCATCATTGTTCAATGTGGGGTCTTTATAGTTTGGCCCAGGCAGTGCAGGGAAGTCCTCGTTATGTATGGAGAAGTCCTGTGTCTGTTCGGTCGAAGGCTTTGTCACCATGCCAACTTCAACATTTTGAAACAGCAGAAAAAGCAAAATCCCAGCAAAACAGTAACAGCAATTATTCTTAATGTTGAAACAATGTGCACTAAAACAAATCCCGTTAGTGGTCATATGAATCCAAACAAGTGGCCTGAAATGAAACCTCAGATCTCCTCTGATGGCCTACCATAATTAGGACGTCCAGCCAGCTGGTTGAGCGCTGGTGTTGGATTTCCAGCAGCTTCTCTTCGACTCCTGTCTGCTAATGCAGGGAAGTCTGAGAGATCCAGTCCCATAATGTTGTCGCTCCCATCTGCATCAACAGGAAGAGCAACATCTTCAATTTTCAGACCTAATCTTTACAATCTATTCAAATATTTTTAATAACATTCTGGATATTAGAGTACAAAAATCTTTACTTTGTCAGATGTTAAAACATGCATATTGCATAAATATTACATAAATAAAAAAAAACAGTAAAGATAAATACTTCATCTATTTTCTAGCAACTACACAACCTTCTACAAGCTGCAGTGTTAGTAAAATTTAGTTTTATTCCTTTAATGTGTTCATGGATCTATCTATCTAGAATTTTCTCCAGATAGATCAATCTATATAAATAAAAGAGAAAATATATGATAAAAACGAAATAAAGGGGAACTCGAATAGAAATCCAAGGTAAGACCTACCTTTTTTTTTTTCAACAAACTTTTCCTAAACTTTTTATTTTTTTATTTTTAGTAATTAGATGTGGGAACTGCTAAAAATAAAGCTCCATATTTTCATTTTATACACAAACTGTAACATCTGTAAGCTTAAATGTATAAAATATTACCTGGTAGATTTGAATAAAAGTAACTCAGCTAACTTGTAAAAGCTTGTAATACAAAGGCTTAAAAACATGTGTGTTCATCATTAGACAACTTTAATGTGGCTGAAGGGAAGTTTATTTTAACTGATCTATGTCTGCAATTTAATGTATAAAAATGAATGTTTTGAAAACCACTTTTTTGTGTCTTTCTATATCAGATTCTCAGTCTGTTTTCTTCTTATGGGTCAAGCTGTTTCCATTTTAAAATATGCCAGATTTCCTCTCCAATCTCTGCTCTTTGGCTCCAGCTGAGCTCACCCTCCCCTGGAACCCACAGACACAGAGCACCAACTGCTCAACATGTGTCACAATTAAATGCTACATCCAAAAATACCCAATGTGTTGCACAGAGGTGAGACATTGGCGGCTTTTGAACCTCAATCCCTAAATCACTGTATATAGCGAGGACTATATAGTGAACTCAGTTAACTGACCATTTGGACAGATGATTACTACTTTTCGCATGGTGCCTGCGCCATCTTTGTTATGTGTCGCTACTGTTGGGTAGCGGGCCACTGTGACAACAAATCCCATGATATATATCCCATTCCGGGATATATCTGCTCGTCTAGTGACCATGGATGATCAATACTTTTTAAGGTGTATCGTGGGAAATTTCCGGTCCACTATTTTTTTATCCACTCATCTAAAATGGCGTACCCACTATACAGTGCCCTATATAGTGGTTCGGACACAGCCTTTGTGATAAACAGTGTGACTTTCAGGTCAAACACACTAACCTGTGCCATTGAAGATGTTGCTCGATAATGAATTGTTCATCCCATAACCTTGACTGCGGTTCATGCCGAACCCTGACATGCTGCAGGTAAAAAGAGCTGTTTTAGTGCCCAGCTGAGCTCCACAAACTTGAATCCTACCAAACGGCACAGCTACCTGTTGATGGTGCAGGGCTGCCGTGCTGGCTGCTGTTTGGGCATACAGATGATGCTTGGGGAGCTGCGGTTAGGGCTTCCTAGTCCTGAGCTGCCCATGCTGCTGGTCCTGCCGGTTAACCCTATGCCCTGTGAGTGGTTCAGGATGTTCCTCGTATTCAGCGATAACGTTCCCCTGCAGAAATATAAGAACAGAAACATGACTTCCCTCAGGTCTGATCTAACATAAAAAAAGCCTCAGATAACAGCACACACCTGCTGGGCGATGGAGGTGTGTGTAGCGACATGGAGGGAACACCTGTTGTAGGGGTGATATGACTTGCTAGCTGCGACCCTTGTGTTAGACTTCGGTTTAACTGAGGCGTACTGTTTCCCATGTTCCTTACAGGGAAGCCGATTGCACCTGTAGAGAAAAAGAAATCTCAACTACAACCATTCAAATAAACCATGATAGGATTACACTAATGCATCTGCTAACACATACATGATGTACGGGTCTAGCTAATAAATAGTGTAAAGCCTTTGACACTTTTCATATTCAAAAGAAAAATTAAAAAATACTCACTTTGTGGACCATACAAACTAACACCGAGCTGCGACAACTGACTGGACGACGACGGTGAAGGAGAGGACAACATCTGGGGGACAAGATGTGTTAATAATACAGCATATAAAACAGACCGATTTCTGCTACACTGCTAGCTAGTAAAGACTTAGAAAAAAGGGGGGGAAATGTACAAACTTACATCTTTGTCCGATCTATGGAACATCGACTGCTGGCTGTAGTACATCTCATCAGCCAAGTCGTTGTCGACTCCGTCCCCGAAATCTGGAAAGGGTTTTCTAGAGCCAAACATGTCTTTTTTTGTCACCTGAGAATAAATATAATCAATCAGGAAACAAAGGATTTAAAAAAAGGAAAACATTCTGTTTCCTTCTGAGTTCTAATAAGTCTTCAAAATAGAGACACTTGAAAACATGTTTTCATTACTAATCTAAGTAACTTTTATATAAACAGGAAACTTAAATTAAAGTTACATCTCATAAATACTTTAAAACACCAACAGATCAGTATCTGGGGGGCTTGTAGGTCAGCTTTTAATCTCTGCTGTCTTTCTGAGGATGGATACAGCTACTGTAAGGTTATGGCTCAGACAGCAGTACAGAACCAACAAGCTTGTGTTACACATATTACCTGCGAGGTATTTTTATACATTATCTGTAACTCAAAACCTACATTTTAAGAGTATGGATAATTTATTGTGCAGCTTGAGTTTATAATGTTTGACATGACAGCTGAGAGTCCGTTCCTACATTTTGTTTTGGTTTATGAATCCATCTCGCAGCAGTTTGCCTTTTATTTACCACACAGACTAGGGAAACTTTATCTCTTCTTAAAAAAGACAATTGGATGCCGGCTTCAAGCTCCCACTTGATAAGTGAAAATACAGAAAACTGATTAGAGATTTACTTCACTGACTTTGCTCAATCAAATCTCCTGCAGTATAAAAAGGCTTATTTCTGACTGTCCTAATCAAATCTAGATCGCTTAAATTGCTCATCTTTTTTTTTTAGCCTTTCTAACCCCATCATTCTTTGTGATGTTTTTATAATACTCTTATGTCTGCAAACCAGATTAAATCTATTTAATGTATTTTAAGCCAAAAATAATAACATAACACAAATAAAATATGATAACATCAACACAAAAATGTCATCAAACTGCCCGGACAAATTTTTACACAGTGAATACGTTTCAATGATTATATTATTTTTAACATCAGCAACACTATTGACTGGATCTGCCGTCTCAGAGGATTTCGCTGATGGTCGCAGACAACCACTGTGCCTTGCTCGCCAGCTTATTTCTATCCACTTATACTTTAAATATAAATGTCAAATTACATTTTAAATGTCATCCACGTCAAATAGAAACAGTTTTACGTCATCAACAAGGCTTTGTTTTGTTTGTTATGGAGCTTTCTAAGAACACCACAGCAATCAGCTGTTGGATGAGTTGAAGGGGTAGATGACCCCAGGAAAAATAGCAAGATTTTCAGAGAGTCTTAGAAATTATTTCTAAGAACAATCAAAAGGTCAAAAGATATAGAGCTGCAAAACAAACTGAAACACAATCATTGCAATTTCAACTGTGCAATTTTACAGTCACAAGGGATTGCTTGGATGTAATAATTAGTAGGCTTTAATATTTCAATTGCAATGCATGCAGGTTGGATGGATCTTTGATGCCCATGAAATAGATCTTAATATTTGCTTAAAGAAAACGTAGTAAAAAGATTTGGAAAATATAAATATGGTCTGATCCCAAATATTATTATAGTTAAATCTATCAAAAGTACCATAACCACAGATTTTCTCAATATCATGCAGCCCAGGTGAAAGTCATGTTCCTAAGAAGCAAAACATTACAGTCTATAGATGTAAAAAAAAAAAAAAATGAATCCACTTATGATTAGCTGTCAAATAATGGTGTATTAGATTAAAATTAGGTTTATACAATTATATGATGAACTCTGCTTAAAAGGCTTTGTGTGTTAATGCCCTTCATAAAGCCAAGTCTTAACAGTTCTCTGAGAGGATCCAGTACCAACAGTTAAAAAGCACTCCAAACAGCACAGAATCTAGTTATTAACCTAATGGTTCCTGTAATGTTATGGCTGATAAATATGTTAAATAATGTGTAAGAAAGCTTTTTTTGTAATTATTCAGTCAGAATTTATTATTTTCTTAATTCAGCATATTGTGAAAAAAATATTCAGCTTTTCAGGTTGTTAAAAGGTGCTCTTGATAAGAGAGAAATCTGTTTTTTTTTTAAATGTAATCAATGAATTTTTGTTCATTAATAATGTCCCTCAAACGTATCTTCATTCATTCATCAATAACTTGCATCCCTGTTACAGATAGAAAAACTTTGACACATTACTGAGAGCAAACGATGAGCATAGACAATTACTGATTATGAAGAAACTAAAATAAAAAGCAGAAATAAGTTTTCCTTTTATTTTGCAGGAAGAAGGACCTGAAACATCAAGCTTAATGGATGTATTACACGGCAGGTATTGGGTATTTTAACTGAACTTGGTTAATCCATCCCTTGTCTTCCACCAATTTTTTTTTTTTTTTTTTTTTTTTTTTTTTTTTAGCCACATAGGCAAAAAAAAAATATTCAAGATTATCCTTTTAAAGGAATAGTACACCCAAAACATGATTAGCCTTCATTTTCTACTCACCCCCATGCTGAACAACACTCTGGAGTACTTTTTTGATATCTCAAATGCATCTGGAGATCTGGGAGGCTTCTTGCTGTCTGCTGACATTCAAATAATGGAGGTCTATGGCGCCCGAGGCAGAAAGGTCCATAAAAGTCCACAAAAAACGTGTCAATATTCCTCCATACTGCTCGTCCAATGTATTCCAAGTGTCCTGAGTGGGTAGCATCCAGAATTTACTCGAAACGAAGTAATTTAGAATGTTTTTAGAGCATAAACAGTAGAGTATAGGATTTCCTGAAAGCGCGCGCCTGCGAGTTCATGACGCTACGGAAACCGCGGCGGACCAAACCAGATGAAAGTGCGCATTCAGCTCGGCAAATAACTCATGCTCTTCCTCAACACTGAAGTCCTCAGACATTTTTCTTTCGTTGTTTCTTTCTTTGCACAGGTAAACAGCACATTTCTTCTTCTACGCTTGCATTATCGGCAGAGCAGACGCTGAATGCGCACTTTCATCTGGTTTGATCTGCCGGCTTCCGTAGCGTCGTGAGCTCGCAGGCGCGCGCTTTCAGGAAATCCTATACACTACTGTTTATGCTCTAAAAACATTCTAAATGACTTCGTTTCGAGTAAATTATGGATGCTACCCACTCAGGACACTTGGAATACATTGGACGAGCAGTATGGAGGAATATTGACACGTTTTTTGTGGACTTTTATGGACCTTTCTGCCTCGGGCACCATAGACCTCCATTATTTGAATGTCAGCAGACAGCAAGAAGCCTCCCAGATCTCCAGATGCATTTGAGATATCAAAAAAGTACTCCAGAGTGTTGTTCAGCATGGGGGTGAGTAGAAAATGAAGGCTAATCATGTTTTGGGTGTACTATTCCTTTAATATCTGGGTTTATTTTGAATCATTAGTTGGACACATTCTAGTTTTTTAAGTCAACAAAGAATCCAAATATTTATCCTTAATTTAGTTCTAACTGCAGATACAGCAACTCATAAATTTTCTAAGAACTAAAACATATTTTGTTCTTCATTAAATCTATCAAAGTAATTTATTTTGATGCTCTTTTTTTTAAATTTAATTTAAAAAAAAAAAACATTGCTGGATTTTTTCAATCCTTTATCATTCTTTATACTTAAAGTATATTATTGTTGTGTGGGGATAAAATGTGCTCTTTTGACCCTTGGGGGGGGAGAAGTAACTTATGTCTGCTGAATACACAGAGGGGGGATCACGTGCTAGCTAGAAGTGGTTTGACTAATTTTGACTGGATGACATTGGAAAGTAAGCCCTGATGAGCAGGTGACTGTATCGCATGTAATGCGTTGTAACAATGCAGCGTCCTGTGACAATTTAACCGCACCCTGATTGCATGAAATAAAAACGCCTGCAAGGGGACGTACATTTGGAGTAGAGCTAAGAGACTTCCCTGCACAAAGTTCTCTCCCCTTTTGCAAAAGGTTGTGAAAGGTACACTGTGTCTGTCTGGGCTTTCTTTATATTGGTTTAGAAATTAAAACTAACCTATTTCATATCCATATAAAGGACGAGCATTGACACATAATCAGCGTCTTGAAATTGGTTTATTTTTTGGATTCAAACTACTACCAAAGAACCTATAGCACAGTTTATCTTATTTTATATTCTAGCGGTTTAAAACATCACGTTTAAATCGGTGGGTCACAACTTAAAGAAAACTTATGATATTATATATATATATATATATATATATATATATATATCTTACCATTATTTTTCTGATTAATTGATTAATACTTGGATAGCCAAAGCTTCCTTAAAGGAAACTTTTTACGAAATTAAACCAGATGAAACTAAAATGATATTCCACTAGCGGATTTCTGGACGGAGAATATTGATGGACAAAACGTTTTTTGTTTTTTTTATCTTAAATGCAGTACATATACATAAATATACATATCAACTAAACGCATGTGAGTCTCTATAGTCCAGTTAACGATTAAACGATTACTAAATTAGTTGACGATTATTTCTATAATAGATTTATCATGTTTAATTGCTTCAGCACTAACCAACACTATGACTGTCTAATTTTAAAATACTTTACGTATCATCCATTTATAAAAGCAGCTCTGCTATAATCAGTCCCAGCTGCTGTTACACTAGAATATTGAATGTTTCACATTAAGTGTTAAGTTTTATACATTGATCTCTCTACTTCCACAAATTTGCATGCTATTAGTACAGTTTATACCCGTTTCTTAGACATTTTAACATCCATCTAATTATTCAGCTTTTTTTTTGTTTGTGTTTTGCATTATTTTAATAACAACACAGTGTTTGTCTGATCTGATGTTTTTCCTTTATCTGTGCAGTCTACTTTTAAATTCTCATATTTTATTTTTCTATATATAATTATAGGCTTCCATCTATCTGCATGCTGTCCTTGCTTTTCCAGTGAAACACCTGATTTTCATCACTGCTGGATGATGGTTATTTCTATTATTTACCACTATAATCACTTTTAAGATCACTTCACACCACCTGGGTTAAGATTAAACTGATCAAAAAGAAGGTTAGTGACACTTAATTATTCCTTATTGCATGTGCTTTATCAAATACTAAAAGATCAGAAATTTAAAGCCATATGGGGTTTGGAATATTGCATAAAGTTGTAATGGACTTATTTCTACACTTCAAAGTATGTGCAAAGCCAAGTTTAACTTCCCAAAAGAAAAGAAAAAAACTGATTGAGGAGCTATGACAAGGTAAAAAATAAAATAAATGACAGCCTCAGTGAGTGTAAAATCACAAAAGTTGTAATTATTATCGGGGAGTCTCAGTCACCGGTTATAATTTAAATTGAAGGGGGAGGAACAGGGGCAATGCTAGGCTAACCGCTGCTGCTAAGAAGCTAGCGATAGCATGCTAAGTTAGCATAATGCTAGCTCACAAATGAGCCACTACTTCAAATAAAGAATCATGACAACCGCTCAGTTACAAAACGACACAATCAAAAGCTCTGATCAAAGTTTGGGTCAAGCTGAAAATGATTATATCTGCAGTCATAGATCCATTGGTCCATTTCCTCGGCTAACTTAGCGCTCCGATTGGAAGTAGCTGCATCTGTAGCAGCGATATTTAGCCGATGCTCCTGGTGGCAAAAGTTAATGACCTGCTGTGTTTCAATACAGGGGCAGGCCGAGCCGATACAAAGCTCCCACTGAACGGCAACATCCAAAAACGAGCCATTAAATCTGAGAAATAGTATGGAAAATGCGCTCACCGCATTAATCTCCCTTCACTTCGTTTGATCCAAGATGGCTGTGTGTGTGTAGTCCCAGCAGAAAGAGCCTTTACTCTCTGACCTCAAGACCTGCGGACAACTTCCGTACACAAAACTGAAACTCTGAAAGCCCTGCAAAGAGTTCAATAGTTGTCTCTCAATGAAAACGTGAAGATGTTTATAGCAAGGATACCTGAGACAAATGAAGAAACTGATACTAATTTTCAGTAGAAAGAAAAAAAATAAAAAATAATATATATATATATATATATATATATATATATATATATATATATATATATATATATATATATATATAGTTTTTTTTAATAATCAAAAATCAGTAATGCCAGATTCCTCAGTTGCATAAAGTATGCAACTGAAGAATTTGAGTAAATAAAAGCAGGGTACACTTCTCATTTGAACATAACTGCAAGCTAAGGGACTATATTGCATGATGATATGTTGCATGATCGCATCAGTAAATCATAACATAGATTGATTTGACGTATTTATTAAATTGTAAGCATAAAAATACATATTTGATTATGAAATTGCCTAAATGAAGAAGATTATAATTAAAAACATACCAAGCAAAACAGGATTCATCGGGTCACCTCACCTTGAAATTACTTCATTGTGCAGTTTGATGATCAGTTATAATGACTTACATTTGCACAAAAACAAGATCAGCATTAACTGAGTCTTAATACCTAACTATCTACCAAACAAAGTTGGACTCTGTCTCTTACATCTTTTTCTTCCCAACACAATTCAAATGGCTATTGCATTAAACCGCATACATACATATACAATACTCGGACTTGCACTAATGTATTGTATATGTATGTATGTGTTATTTATGTGTGCACTTTTACGGAGCTGCTCTCCAAATCTCATTGTATTGTGTACAATGAAAATAAAGGCTTTCAATTCAATTTCAATTCAATTTCAATTAAATTCAATTAAATCTGTCAATTTTTGCTGGGAATGCTCATAATCACACTGTGTGCTGATGTCCATTTTTTGTCTGTTTTGTATTTTCTTATATATATATATATATATATATATATATATATATATATATATATATATATATATATATATATATATATATATATATATATATATATAGACAAAAAACAGAAAAGCCATTGTGGCTATCATAGCAATATCAAGTGACTGCGACATCAGGAAAAAAGAAGATGAAAAGCTAGACAAATACCAGGGACTCAGAGAAGAGCTGGAGAAAACCTGGAAGGTCAAGGCATCAGTGGTACCCGTGGTCAAATTCAAACTAAATCTAAGTGGCTGTCACTACACAAGAGATTTGGAGAACTTTTGCACTGAACAACAGGATTAGATATAAAGGTGCAACAAAATTTTTATTGATGGGTGTATGCGCTTCATCTATAAAGAACCGTTAACGTCTTTTCAGAAATCTGGTTTCATAAGCATTTTTTAACACATGTATCTTTGTTAAAAATTCCCTGGAGCTTTATTTCATAGTAAGATGTAAGCAAACTGTGTGTTGTCCCTGTTGCATGTGAGTTGTGGAGCGGTTTCTTTTAGGCCATCTAACTGAGAGTAGGGAAGCGCTAAAAACAGTGTGTGACTGAGTGAAAGCAGACGAGGGTCAAGCACTGGCCCCTCTGATAAGGAAAATGAAATTCCTTTCTGTTTTATCTTGTTGGAAAACAGCCCTAATGAAAGTATGTGAGATAGCATGGGGCAGATCGCACCTCAAGCAGGCCGGGATGACATGCATGATGACAAGAGCAAATCTTTCACTCATTTGAAAAAGAAGCATCTGTTCCCCACGCTAAACTATATATACCTAAACAGCTGATTAAATCACAATCATTATCTTGTTAAAGTAGGAATGTTCAATGTGTGATTCCAAAACTTTGGAAATACCTTAAATGTCCTCCCAACTTGTGATAATATAATTTTTTGTGCTCCAGAACCATTTTTTAAAACTCAAATATTTGGCTCAATTAAAGTAAACATCTCACTCCTTCTCAGCAAGAGTGCATCAGAGCAGAGCGTGAATGTCTGTAATTTCTTCTGCTGTTTCAAGCCGCAAGGCCCCTCCCCATCTCTCACTCCCACTTCTGTCATCTTGCAGAAGAAGTGGGGAAAGTCATTAGCCACAAAAGGGGAGGAGAGAGCAAGTGGTTGCTATAGCCATGAAAGTCAGGGCTGAGCTCCACGCCACTGAGAGCTGGTGAGAGGCCACCATCAGGGAGTATCTGCACGGGGAGGACAATGCATTTTCAGCTCATTAAGCTTTATAAACAAATGGCTTACTGTTGAAGGTGCTAGATGTCATGGATGAGGGCTGAAAGACTTTGGGAAGTAAGTCAATGATTGTTTTCATATTTCTCAAAATGTCTTATGATTTCTGTTGAAGAATCTAGGAGAGAAAACTGTACTTATCTTTGGTTCATATAATGTATTCTTGGGAAAAAACATTTAAACTGTACCTCAATTAATTTATTTCCTTTAAAGGATCAATAAATCCAGATGGGCTTTTGAAGGGGCTTTAACTGGACTCCATTAAGATGAGCTTAAAGACGACAACTAGCGGCTAAAGAACAGGATCTGAGTAGAGACTGAGAAAGATGGGCAACGCCATCCGAGGAGTCATCGCCTTCATTCCCTCTGAACGCTGCCAGCGCTACCTGGTAGGAGACCTGAAGGAGATGCCGCTGGACCGGACCCTGGACCTGAGCAGTCATCAGCTGCGTCGGCTTCCTGTCTCTGTCTGCATCTTTGATGAGCTGGTGAAGCTTTACCTGAGTGACAATAACCTCAGAAGCCTGCCTGATGAACTGCAGGGCCTCAGAAAGCTGCAGCTTCTTGCCCTGGACTTTAACTGCTTTGAGGAGCTCCCTGCAGCAATCTGCAGGTTGCACCAGCTCACTATACTTTACCTTGGCAACAACAGGCTGCACCGTCTTCCCAAAGAACTAAGACAACTCAAAGAACTGAATACTCTGTGGTTGGAGACAAATTGCTTCACTGTTTTTCCAAAGGTAGTTTGTGAGCTCAAAAACCTTAAGACGCTGCACCTTGGATATAATCAGATACGTAGTTTGCCAAAAGATCTGAGGCGTTTGGAGGAACTGAGAAGTATCTGGCTTGCCGGGAACTTGCTGACAGAGTTCCCACAAGAGCTGCTCCAGATGCACTCACTGGCCGTCATTGATGTGGATCGGAATAAAATACGACAGTTCCCGAACCTGTCTCACATGCAGGGCCTGAAGCTGGTCATTTATGACCACAACCCCTGTGTCAACGCCCCAACGGTGGGTGAGGGTGTGAGAAGAGTGGGCCGCTGGGCTGACAATTCAGATGACGAGCAGGAAGATGAAGGAGCCAAAGTAAGGAGTGAGGATACAACTGAGGGGGTAGAGGTGCATTCGGAGGAAAAGCAAAACAACGTAGAGCAAGAAAGTGACGTTCAGCTGTGACTGGGCCTGAATATCAGGAAATTTTAGTGGAGTCCTTAAAGCAGAATATCAGAGGAGGAACAGTCTGTTTGATCCATATATAGTTAGGCTGATTGCTCTAGGCTAGGCCAAATAGATAATCATAATTTCAGAGCTGTAAAAGGTTTGTGTGCCTGTTTGTGGCCACTTTTTTAGTAAAAAGAGATTGTCTTCCACTTTGGTTTTAAAGCCATCAGTCATGCAAATCACTTGCTTCCCAAAACAGAAATGTGCTCTTTTGGATTCAGATCTAAGGACTGTGGAGGGCAGTGGAGTACAAAAAACATATTACATTTGAAAAAAAAAAATGTAGATTATTTGAGGTTTCTGAGATCTTGCATAATGGCGATGGACACATCTATGAAAAGATGGATCTAATGTGTCAAACTGTTGAATTTTAAAATGGACCATTTTTAGACAGTTTCAGTTTTTGCTGTCTTCAGCTGCTGTAGCCCATCAGCTTCAAGGTCCAATGTGTTTATTATTTCAATATGATGACAAGGGGTTATATTACTACTGTTATATATATATTTTTTTTTGTTATATTGAACTAGTCTCAATTCTCGACTCCAAATTTAAATCGGTTATTTTTATTCTTGATATTTTCTTTTTCTCAGGCCATTTTCTGTAAACCCCAGAGATTATTGTGCATAAAAATCCTATTAGATCAACAGTTTCTGAAACAACCCTGCCAGGTTGGGTGTCAGGTAACTCACCTTTCTGTGAACTTTAACAAGCTCTGATGGTTCGGTTATGTTCAGAAAATTTAATTGCGTAGCTAATTAAGTGGCTAGTGAGTGCACATTTTTAGCTCAAATTAAATTTATGGTTTTAGCGATCAAGTTTGACCTATTTTATCTTACAGTTGCAAAACAGTATTTCAAATAATTTTTAAAGGTGTTTTTAAAGATAATTTTTAGGCACTAGAGGCCTTTATTTTTTTATTTTCAAGAGTATGGAGACAGGAAAGTGGGTTAGAAGAGAGGGGAGAGACATTCTGCAAAGGTCAGCAGGACCGGGACTCGAACCTGCGACAGCCGTTTAAAGGTGTTCTTAACTACAAGTTGTTTTTTACAAATTTCTGTGAACATATGCGGCATTGAAATCCATAATTTCTATTAATGTAATATAGCTGGCCCATTTACTTACCAATAGTTAAATGACAAGTCTATTGTTGGGTCGGGGGGGTTAACTCAGAGATTTAAAAAATGGGTTTTAATTCTAAAATAGCTTCTGCACCTTCTGAGGCTAAAAAAAGTCTTTAATACTAGTGATGGATGGTCTGAGTAACAGGGCGCAGTCATTATCCAGATGAATGCATAATTCATTTGATAAATTGGAACTGTGGTTTCAAATAAAGGTCACTAATGGGGCTTAATATCCTCATCCGAAGCTTATGGTTTGAAAGAGCCAATAAATGTGTGTTTGTACATCCTTAAGTTACCAGGAAATGTTGTCTAAATGGAAATAAAGGCCACTTCACAGTAAAGGATTTGATACATCTGAGGCTTGCTTTTAACGAAGCCAACAAGAAAACACATAAAAGGGCTGTGAATAATATATCCATCCAGGAATCTAATTGTTCCCATAGAACTGGAAGAGTTTGGCCGGCATTGTTTCCACATCAGAAATAAAAACATTGCAAAGCTGCTTTCTGCGATTCATTTGGGTCGACGTGTCTGACAATAAATTGTGTGTTGATAAAAGATAAATATTGAGGAGGAGGGGGGATATTTTCCCACTGCACTATAAGTGGAATATAACTGTCTAAATTTAACCACAAAATGCAGAAATTATTTTCAAAATTCACATTTCAGTCATCAAATCATAAATTGGGGTATTCCACCCATTTTATAAAGATAACACAACACAGTATAAAAAGACACTGACAGAGCATCTTAGGTTCAACACAAAAATGAGGTCATCAGTACATATATATATATATATATATATTTATTTTGCTCGTTCAAACACATAAATAACAGCTGCACATAGTTTGAAAAATCTAACATATCTATGAATATCTTTGGTAGAAATATCCAGGGAACACAGAGCAACCATAAAAACAAAATCCCAAACTCCTCTGCAAAAGCAGGTTAAATACTAAAAAGGCTGAGCCGCACAATCCCTACATAGCTTTTAGCAAGTGCATCAACTTCAAAGCCGTAACTTCACTTTCCCCTGTTGTATTCTTACATACATCTTAACAACCCCATCTAAAATGATCTGAGCTGGTTGCTGATAAAAAAAAAAAGTAGAAAAAAAAGGATGTCCTGACTCTAGAGTTTTATATAGACATGTAACAGGAATGAACACTGAACTCACCAATTACACTGAGACAGAACCCGGCTTTGTAATACCAGACAAAAAGGTCAAAATTGCTTCCCTCAGGCTGGACCAATGTTTTTCATGGAAAACTTGGTGACATCAAAGATGCTTTCTGTTGAGCAAATTTTCCAAATCAAATTGCCTTAAAAGAGCTTGTCGAGAAAAAGTCACATGTATTTAATCATTTTGTTTCAGCAGCATGGCATTTACTTTAAATAGTCTCAGAGTAATTTCATGATAAAACTTTTAATAATGCCTTTAGGTATGATTTTTGAAAAAAACAAAACAAAAGTAGTATCCACCAATTGAACAGCAGTGGGAAAGGGGAGTATTTTTATTGATGGGGATCCACAGATTAAATAGTAGAAATGCATTTCCCCCTCGGTCTTTAAATGCACCATTTTTAAATGAATGGAACCACAGACAGCTTGTATTCAGATGCACGTCTCTGTGTTTGGTAAAACAAAACAAAAAACAACAGAGAAATGTTCCTTCAAGCTTAAATCTTTCTATGTTTTATCTTCTATGTGTTATAGTACTTAGTAAACAAAATTGATCAAAGTATGTTTTGAGGATCCTAAACGTCAGTAGCAACTGGAAAATCAGTAATGGCCAGTAAAAGCCTGATCAGTGGTTCTCCTGCAGAGATGAAACACAAGCAGGTTGAGTAACATAAAAAGGGCGTGTCAGACAACCGATGGACATGCCAGAACTCGAATGTAACGCCTTCTGAACTGGGATGCTTAAATGCCACAAACATATGACTTGTAACAGTGCTGCAGCAAAAAAAGTCAATAGAGGTCCGACTGATATTAAGACAAAACTATTGGATCAAGTGCAGACTGAAGCAATACATGTCATGTATTCTGCTTGAGTTCTATCAAGCTGTAGGTTCGCTTTAGTCTACATCTAAATCTACATTTGGCCATTCAAAGTGCTAAACAGTGTTTGCTATATTATGCTTCAGAGACTCATCCAAGGTCCAGGTCTGTGGCGAACGGCTGTCTCTCCAGGCAGAGACCGAGGGCTGCCATCCAGCACGTCTGACCCGTCAGTTTCCCCAGGTCCCTCAGAGTCATGAGACTCTGCCTCTGCTGTATGTGTAGCTTCAGCCCCAGAGGCATCTGGGATTACAGAGAGGGTCTTTGACGAAGACTCTGCTACGGCGCCATTCTCCTGGGTATCAAACGTCCCATTGATGGAGCCAATAACAGCAGGAGAGCTGATTTCTTTCTGTGAATTTTCCCTTTCCATGCGCTTTCGTGCCTCTTCCCTCCTCTTCTGGATCCGTGTGTTGTCTCCCAACATGACCTTGACTCTGACCTGTTCTGGAGGCCAGAGCCCACCCCACATTACCTGCAGGTATCCAAACAACGCTATGACGCTGAGGAAGGCGAAGTTGGTGGCCACTCCGATCACTGCAGACGTCAGGGGGAAGTTGTACAAAACGTATCTTATACCAGTGAAGTAAGCGTGGATGCGGAGCTGAGCCGAGTAGATCTGAACCCGTCTGGACTGGATCTCAATGACTGCGCCCACTGTGGGCTGATAGGCGTTTGTCTTGTAATCAGGATAGAGCTCCACTTCTATGAGTTGTTTCTGCTCCGTCATCCCAGCCAGGAGGAGAGGGGAGAAAAACAAAGTGCTCAGGGTTTGCAGAAGGCTGGAGCGATAATGCAGCATGGTTGATCGTCCTACTGATGACACAGTCCTCCCACCTTTGGTATAACAGGACATCTTGATCATGAACATACCCAGATTTTCGTTAACTGGAGACTCCGGCATCTCCAACTCCAAAGACACCCTGTAAGGCTGGCCGTTGGCCATCACCTGGTCCCTCTCATTCTTCATGAAGGATATGTTGGCTGTGGGGAAGGAGCACAGACCTGATCCCGCTGCATCACAATCAGAGGTATAGTAGAAGTGCACGGGATTGGAGAAGCTCACAGTGGGCATGTAGGAGTAGTAGAAGCTCCCATAGAGAAATATGGACACCCACAGCAGCAGAGATAGGGTGCAGAAAAGAATGGCGGCCTGGAAAAGCGTTCGTCGGGCTTTATGAAAAGTCACAGCAGCCACATCCTGCAGCCAGTGGAGGAGCGGCCCCATGGCTGCTCCCATCGTGACCGTTTGAACTGCGGATCCTCCTCGGTGCTCCGTGGACTGCTGCCTTTGCGGTGAATCGTTAGGACCTTGCATTAGTGGGTGGCTCCAAATCCAAACAGCAATTCCTTATTTTCACACCCCATGACGAAGATCCTTAGCTAGCAAGCTCAGCTAGCAAGCTTCAAACTCGTAACCAGACTGAAACATGTTATGCCTACGCTGAGAAACACGGCATAACAAATGATCGTTTAGCAAAATCCATTAGAATTATGCTCCCGCTGCTGTTATGCGCTTCAGCAACTTCCTTCTTCGTCTTCTTCTTGAATTTTTTATGGCGGTTGGCAAAAACGTTAGGTGAGCATTACCGCCACCAACTGGTAAGGCGTGTCACAAGCAACTTTTTTTTACATTTAAAAAAAATTGTAAATAAAGAATATCTCGACCAGGTACATAGAATATTGATTCAAGAACATATTAGTGCATTTATTGTCTCTAATATCCACATGCTCCATTTGAAGCTTATGGAGTCTTGGAATAGAGAAATTATATATGCTGTTTTTAACTAACATAAGAAGAACATTTGGTATAATATGTAAAACTTTATTGTAAGTTGTTAAAGAACAATCAGTTCCATGAAGCCTGTTAAAATCCTCCAAACTTAAAATATCCCCATTATCATCCATTGAGTGAGAAATTACCAGATTTGTTTATTCCACCAATCTTTTATAAATATAGATCTTCTACCACATAGAATGACTCTGTTGTTCCACAGTGGGACATTATGAGGGCTGAAGTTGTGCTTGAAAATTAACTTCTACTGCAGCACAACCTTTTGATGGACATTTGAGAGTTGTCATAAGCAACCTAGCTTTCCGGTGTCATTTTACTGTTCAAATAAAGTTATAAAAAAAAAACAAACAAAAAAAAAAACGTAGCTTTCCGTTAGGAGGATGACTCGATGACCCGGAAGTTAATGCTACAAACGGATGTGCTTCTTTCTTTGTGTCGGCCCTGAGTCGAAGCAGTTCAGCTCTTATTGGCGTTGCCGAAAAAAAATATTTTCTAATTCACGGACACAAAAAAATGGGGAAGAAAACTCGCATCACAGGAGGAGCCGTTGGCAGGAGAACGATCTTACAACTGTCTCCACCAGGACATCGCCTCGGAAATACTGGAGAGAGGGAAGAGGCGCCGTCTGGCTCTGATGGTACTTTTTTTTTTTTAGCATGTTAGCATATTAGCACGTCAACTGAAGTCTGACGGAAAAAAAAAACGCTGCGCGCACATTAGAGCAGTATATTAGTTAAACCTAATGAATTTTTTAATGACATTCGACGTTAAAACGTAAAGACTTGACATCAGCTATGCTTTAAAGAGTAAAATTTTAAGATTTATTTACAGGATACTATGCTAAGCTAGGCTAAAGTAGTGGCTAAAGTAGTTGGCTCAGATTTATTGACAGGCCACTTGCACCTTAAGCTTAGAAAATTTTAATTTGAAGTAAACGATTTGGTAACAATAACGTAGAATTTTTTTTTTATTATTATTATAAAAAGACATAGTCGATATCACGATCTCGATTAGCTGTTAGCTATCCAGCATATCAGCCAGTCTGTTTTGGTTAACGTTGGTTACAAGATTGACTTATTTGCGTCTTCCGTGCAGATGACCAAGACGGTGATGGAAACAGATTTGTTAAACACATACCTGTGAAGGCACCGACCGTAAAAGCCACAGGTGAGTTAACTTGTTTTAACCTGACTGATGTGCCCGTTTGTTTTTCAGAAATCAGCGGTTGATCTTATTGTGTTTTTCCTTTTGCTCCTTATAATGTTCCTTTCCTCAATTGCACTGTTTTAGATTCAGTGTTTCCGATTACTGAACACCTTAATTGTTATGCTAAAAAAGTAAAAAAATAAATAAATAGAAGTAAATGATGGTGAGTCCTGTGGTGGATCTAATTTTTCTCATTTAAGTTTGCAGTACTAATGTTGATTCCACTGCTGCTTCATTAATCCCATGGGATTACAGCTACTTTATCTGATTATGGCTTTATTGTGATTTCATTAAAATTATAAAATGGCCACATAAAAAAATGTATGTATTATTGTTCTGAAGGAAATAATGCACGCTGTTTGTGAATTTAAAAAGGTGATATGAACTTATTACATAAGGCAGTGATTATGGTGCACTGTAGTGATGTTTTCCACACCTTGGCTGTCTTGTTTTTCTCCACCAGAATGATATTCCTAAAAACCCAATTCACATTTTATTAGCAATAAGGGGGAAAAAAAGCTAGACTTCAGTGAAATACAACAGGTCAGAGGGGCACTGGAAACGATCTACCTCCCTGAGCACTTCACTTCCCAAAAGAATGTAGCATTTTTTAAAATGGTATTTTAGAAAGTGGTCATTTTTTTTCAAATGTTGTTTTCGCTACCAATGAACATGTTTTGACATAATTGAGCTTTTAGTTGTGTGAAACTAGCAGATCTCAATCTAACTTTCAGAGCTGTTGGTCTGCTGTGTGCTTTCTAATGCATTGAAACGTTATATTTTTCGTTGTTGTATAGAGGGTTTGTCGTTGCTTGGAGCCTATGAAGACAGTGACGAAGAAGATGCAAACCGTTCAGCAGCAACTTCTCAGCACAACCAGTCAACGGACATCGACAGTACCCTGGCCAATTTTATGGCCGTGAGTATATCATTTAAATGAATACAGATTGGATTTTCTTTTTTTATATATAATTTAATGAGTCATTAGTTTTTGTTCAACTATAGATTTCCATTCATAAAAAATATAGTAATTGGGTCTCCCATTTTGATCCAGATATCTGTTTTCTCCGAAACCCCTCACCTTATCATTTCTCCCTCTTCAGGAAATTGATGCCATCACAACTCAGCCAAGTACAGATGATGCAGCAGCTCCTGCCTCGGCTTCAAATGCAGCTCCACCTCGACCTAAGGTCAAAGCTCAGCAGCCATCTGCAGAGGATGGCCATGATCAACAGAGCTCAGATTTTGAGTACAATACGCAGTGCTCCCTAGCCGGAGGTAACTATATTTGCTGTTTTGGTAATTTGATCGAGATTAACTTAATGGTCCCCATTGATCAATTGGTTTTACAGACAGTAAACAACAGCAAACATAAAACTGAAACTCCACAAAACTAACCATGATATTCTTGATGCACCCAGAATAACAATCTCTAATCATTGAGGCCACACTGGCAGGGACATATTAACACTCAGAACTTTTTCTATCCTGCTGATGGTAACAGGCTAGGTTGAATCATTTGTAAAAAAAAAACAAAAAAAACTCTATAGCCTCTTTCATACGTTTTGCTCCCTCTCAATTGGCAAAAAAAAATGTGTCTAACCCCTAGCTGGCAGACTGCATGATCTCTGTGCCCCCCCTCTGCGTTTCTGGTGACACCATCGCGCAGTGTTAAGGTTGATGCTGTCACTAGTGCGACAGAAATCAGCCGGGTAGGCTACCTGCGGGTATCTTTAAAAAGTGTACAACTACGGGTAGAAAGAAAAACGGGTACGGGTATAAAATGTGGGTATCAGAGTTACAGCATAATTTAAACTTATTTATATTTTCTTATTTACTGTTAATCTGAGTGCAGCGCGCACTGGTTGTGAACATGAGGCAATGCCCTTAACTGCCTCTGTTATTATAAACGGCTGTGTGTACACTTTGTGATCACTCGTCGGGTCGCTCTTTTTTATTTACGGTCCCTGCAATCCAGGCTCGTTTTAAATGGGGATAGTTGCAGGTAAAGGGCTGGTTATACCCCCGCAGCAGTGTGTCGCAGTGAGCTTGATGCAGACATTTTTGATTTCTACTCAAGATAATCCGGAACTAGCTGTGGGTCTAGATACGGCCGAGGCGGTGGAGTGGGAGCGAGTTTGTCCGACAATGGAGGGACATGAGGGGCAAAAAAGAGAGGGGATCCAGGTGGGAAAAGGGTCTCAGTGTTCTCACGCACCTCGCTCTTCTAGCTGGTCAAACTTCACGAGTTGTTTTCCGTAATTGCGGTCATACAAACAAAACAAGCTGGCCTCCTGTCTGCGGTCAGCTACAATTTGGGAGAGGTACAGCAGTGTGTCTGCAGAGGGGTGAGGGACGTCTTTTTGTTCACTGCGACACCTACGCAGACTACCTAGTTTCGAAGTATAAATCAGCCTTAACGGGTCGGGTCTCAGCTCAACTCTATGGGTGCGGGCGGATACAGCTTTGAAAAGTCAGACCTGTGTATGACTCTGGTGTTTATTGCTTTGCTCTATTATTTGTCTGAATCCCTCATACCAGTGCTTTGCCATGTTTATCGAATGTAAACAGATTTCTTTTTCAGCTATTTAGATCAGAAGCTACCAGCGCGGTGTGTTGATGTCCCTATGTTGTGTTCAATTGTGTCACGTAAATTAGCTGGACAACCTGGCTCTGGTTGTTCCCACAGCATGCCGATCAGCGTAGAGGTGATTTTAGCGCTTGTCGTTTGCTGAGTCGTTTGACACGGGTAGACACGTGTCAGTGACCTGATCCCACTGTCAATAAAAAGGCGATTGTTTCTGAGTGTAAACAAATTTTTCAGCCAGAGAGAAAGGGGTATATGTTTTCCAAGATGCTATTCTATGTAGAGACCACCTTCCATTTAGTTATTCTAATAGGAATTGTTTAGATGCAGTAGAAAACCTCACCTAGCTATTCTGCAACCATATTGATAACCAACTTTTAAATAGTTATGTCAGTTATTTCAAACAAATTCAAGATTTGAATCCTTGTGTTCCAGTGGGGGTGGAGATGGGAGACTGGCAGGAAGTTTGGGATGAGAACTCCGGCTGCTATTACTACTGGAACACTCTGACTAACGAAGTGTCCTGGGTGCTGCCGCACTATTTGGCTGATCAGGTGCAAAGTCTGGAACATTATACAAACAGGTAAAACTGAAAGGAAAAAATAATTCCTTACAGATTATCAACAGCACATTTCTCTTTGACAGATGATGCTTGGATTTAAGGTTTGTGATTTTTATTAACTTTTTTTCTTTCTGTAGCACCAGTGTAAACGGGAATGGCACAGTCCATCCTAATTATTACACAGAAGAAAAAGCTGCTACTGCTGTAGCTTCAACAACTTCCAAAGAAGCCAAAGTGAAGGCAAGTAACATCTTTAGTTTTTGTTCTATAATATTCTTTTCATGTTTGTAACCATGTTTATTTTACAGGAGATTGTAGAGAGTGTTGTAGCCCTGACGAGTGTAGAGGAGGAGCGTCAGGGAGTGGCTGCCTCTCTCCTTGGTCCATTGATTCCTTCTGAAGTGAAAGAAGCAGAGGAAAAATGGAGGAAGAAGCTGCTGAAGGGTTTGGATGAGACTGAGAACAGTTTGGATTCTGATGGAGAAGGTGCTAGGCCTGCAGGATCTCCCTCTATACCCCTTCTGGACCCAGATCCAGGTCCTCCAGTGCAGAAAGATGCTTCCAATAAGAGGCTATCAGGGGACCAGTCGGATGAGGAGGAGGCAGAAGAGGACACAATGGAACTGGAGCTGGCACTAGAAAGGAAGAAGGTAAGATTTAGCAAAGCTTTGCAGATATAATTTTAAATTTAAAGCTGCCCTTTACTTTCAGACTTGAACTTCTGTAGTTTAAGAACAAGATGCCAGGAATAATCACATTTTTCAGAGTGTTGTCAGGAGTCTGCACATACAGGTGCTGGTCATAAAATTAGAATATCATGAAAAAGTAGATTGATTTCAGTAATTCCATTTAAAAAGTGAAACTTGTATATTATATTCATACATTACATACAAACTCATATATTTCAGATGTTTATTTTGTTTAATTTTGATGATTACAAATGACAACAAATGAAAATCTCAAATTCATCATATCAGAAAATTAGAATATTGTGAAAAGGTTCAAAATTGATGGCCCCTGGTGCCACACTCTAATCAGCTAATTAACTCAAACCACCTGCAAAAGCCTTTAAATGGTCTTTCAGTCTAGTTCTATAGGCTACACAATCATGGGGAAGACTGCTGACTTGACAGTTGTCCAAAAGACGACCATCGACACCTTGCACAAGGAGGGCAAGACACAAAAGGTCATCGCTAAAGAGGCTGGCTGTTCACAGAGCTCAGTGTCCAAGCACATTAATAGAGAGGCGAAGGGAAGGAAAAGATGTGGTCGAAAAAAGTGTACAAGCAAGAGAGATAACCGCACCCTGGAGAGGATTGTGAAACAAAACCCATTCAAAAATGTGGGGGAGATTCACAAAGAGTGGACTGCAGCTGGAGTGAGTGCTTCAAGAACCACCACACACAGACGTATGAAAGACATGGGTTTCTGCTGTCGCATTCCTTGTGTCAAGCCACTCTTGAACCACAGACAGCGTCAGAAGCGTCTTGCCTGGGCTAAAGAGAAACAGGACTGGACTGCTGGTGAGTGGTCCAAAGTCATGTTCTCTGATGAAAGTAAATTTTGCATTTCCTTTGGAAATCAAGGTCCCAGAGTCTGGAGGAAAAGAAGAGAGGCACTTCATCCACGTTGCTTGAAGTCCAGTGTAAAGTTTCCACAGTCAGTGATGGTTTGGGGTGCCATGTCATCTGCTGGTGTTGGTCCATTGTGTTTTCTGAGGTCCAGGGTCAACGCAGCCACATACCAGGAAGTTTTAGAGCACTTCATGCTTCCTGCAGCTGACCAACTTTTTGGAGATGCAGATTTCATTTTCCAACAGGACTTGGCACCTGCACACAGTGCCAAAGCTACCAGTACCTGGTTGAAGGACCATGGTATCCCTGTTCTTAATTGGCCAGCAAACTCTCCTGACCTTAACCCCATAGAAAATCTATGGGGTATTGTGAAGAAGAAGATGCAATACACCAGACCCAACAATTCAGAAGAGCTAAAAGCCACTATGAGAGCAACCTGGGCTATCATAACACCTGAGCAGTGCCACAGACTGATCGACTCCATGCCACGCCGCATTGCTGCAGTAATACAGGCCAAAGGAGGCCCAACTAAATACTGAGTGCTGTACATGCTCATACTTTTCATGTTCATACTTTTCAGTTGGCCAACATTTCTATAAATCCTTTGTTTTTATTGGTCTTCAGTAATATTCTAATTTTCTGATATGATGAATTTGAGATTTTCATTTGTTGTCATTTGTAATCATCAAAATTAAACAAAATAAACATCTGAAATATATGAGTTTGTATGTAATGTATGAATATAATATACAAGTTTCACTTTTTAAATGGAATTACTGAAATCAATCTACTTTTTCATGATATTCTAATTTTATGACCAGCACCTGTAAATGACCCACCAGAGTTAACCTTCACAGCTGATTTTGTTGTTGTTCTTCCTATAAGAAGCAGAAACGAAGCCTGTCTTTGAGTTTTTGTACTTCTAAATATTCCAGTTCTGTTGTCTTGAAGTTGCCCTGTCTATTTTGTCACTCTCGTTTGCATCAAAGCAGCTGAAAATCTTTCAAGACTGAATTTAAACTAAAGCAACAAAGAGTGATATTTAAACATAGTGTTCAAGATGCAGTGATTAAAAACATTTTTTTTTTACCCTTTTCTTTAGGCAGAGCTCCGGGCACTGGAAGAGGGTGATGGTAGCGCAGGGGGCTCAAGTCCGATGTCTGAAGCTAGCCAAGATGGCGCCGGATCCCGCGCGCCTCTGCTGAAGAAGAACCGCTGGAAAGCTGTCTTTCCAAGTGTTGCCAGCCCCGATTCCAACAGTAGAAGTTCGGACTTTGTGGAAAACACAGAAACAAGTAAGTTATTTTGTGAAGTTATTTTATTTTCAATATACTTTTGAAAAATCCTAATGGTAACATTTTTTAAATTTTTTTAGCACTTCCTAAATCTTCAGAAAGTGTTGCAGATGGAGAAGTAAAGGAAACAGACATTTCAGAGGAGGCCAATGTTTCAAAACTTTGCAACAAAGAGGAGGTGGAGACTCCTGAGCTAAAGGTGTGTTTAACATTATTACCATTGTCATATTGAAATATAATTGTTGATCTGTATCAATGTTGTTTAATTTGTCATAAATGTAGTTTCAGATCGGGGAACTGGCCAACACCTTAACTAGCAAGATGGAGTTCCTGGGGATAAACAAAAAGACGATTTCAAACTTTCATCTGCTTCTGCTCCAAACTGAGGTGAGAGGTGGTTCATGTTCTCGCTCTCAGCTGCTCCCATCTGGCTGTGCCTCTAAAATATTTAACACTTCTTCTCGTCTCATTTCATACAAGCATCTGGCAGATTTTAATATTTAAAATTCTCATGATAATTTATCAAAAGGTGTGCTTCTGTGGAAACTTACTGTAATTGCTCCTTTCTTGTGGCTCTTCTGTTCTTAAATCCTCATTTTTCATCTGATAGTTTACCTGTTGTTTTCTGATAATAAAGGCTTTTATTTCTCCTGTTCATTTTTCCTTTAGACACGAATTGCTGATTGGAGGGAAGGTGCTCTCAACGGGGCCTATCTACGACGCAAGCTGCAGGAAGCTGCTGAACACATAAAATATTATGAACTTAACGCGACCCCTAAAGGCTGGTCCTGCCACTGGGACAGGTACGCGCTCCTTACCTTTAACATCTATAATCTCCCTCGTCCCCCTGAAAAACTTAGGCTGTCACCACAGCCTCCTGCTCTCTGCCGAGGTTTGCAGACTTTGTAACATGACTTGGGGAGAAACTTAACCCTGTCCGAGTGGATTCTCAGAAATAGACTTCAGGTTTCTGTGGTACAAACCTTCAGGGGGCATCCGTTCTGAGCCAGCCTGCTTCATATTAAATAGACTTACCACTGAGAGGACTCCATGTCCCTGTTGCTGACTGTTTAGCCCGATTATGGGTCCATTCGGTGAAACATTTGGGAGTGGTGTATATTAGGAGGGTTGGTTCCGTGGGAGAGCTTTGAACTTTACAGGGCTGCAACTCCTATGATGCAAAGCTGACAAAGTGAGGCCCGGGAAGCGACGAGTGTCATGCATCAAACAAAGTGTGAAGATGGAACATTGACGGGAATCCAGAAGGTCAGACCAACTCTATTTTATCTGTCTTCCTGTTTGTTTTTTTCTTTTAATATATATCATTTTGTATTCTTAATGTAAAATGAATGGAGAGTGTGATTTAAGTTGGCTGAACATGATAATGGTGTTTCTTCCTGAATCTGGGAGGGAATGGTTGTCTAATATGGAATAAATGTGACAACCATGATGTGAGCTGCCACTTTCAGGACCTTAAGATGATTTTTTTTGCATTACTTATTCTTTAAAGCAAGGTGGGTCCCCTATCCACACCTATATAATGACATTATAATTGGGCGCTTTTCCTGGATGGCAGACATTGCTGTCCATACAAACATTCCTGTTCCTCTTCTCTACTTCTTTGCCCCAGTGTTACAGGTTGATGTTGCCGCTCTGGAGGTTTTAAGGACAGTGATTGAGACTCTTGTTTTTTTATGTCTGTTGTTCCATTCTTTAGAGAGCACAGGAGGTATTTCTATGTGAGAGATCGGACTGGTGCCTCCCAGTGGGAGTTCCCAACAGAGGAGGATAAGGAGGGTGACCCAGTAGACGCTCCAAGTACACAGACTCTCAGCCAAGAGGAGATCAAAACATCTGGATCAGCTGGTGGGGCTACAGGTCAGTCTAATAGCACGATATCTTCAACCGTAGACTTTTCCTTCCCTGTTAGGCACCAAAAGAACATAAACCTTTGTAAAGTTGAACTGAGACCTGGCTGAAACACGTCTAAACACAAGCAAATCTCTCCAGCATCATCTTCCCTCCATTGATTGACTGTAGGTTTGGGCTGTTATGAAGTTCTGACAGAATAATAATCTTAAGCAAAAATATCACAGTCTCTCTGTAAGATGATTGCATTTGGAAATGCCTGAATTAAAGAATAGAAAGCTTGCTGATTGTGGGCTGATCTTTAGGATAATCCCTATAGTTGTTAACTTAAATTGTCAGAAGAAACTGTTTTTTATTTTTTTTTTATTAAAGGTGCCAAGATTTCTTGCTCCACACATTCATACTTCATACTTATGATTTTTGTTACCTAAAACCATTAAGCTGTACTAACAGTGTTATTATGCTAAAGGAGGACTGTGTTTGCGCTGCTTTAATACTTAAGATAAATCAGTGTATGATGGACAACAGCTGTCCTTTCATTTGTTGATGTAATCTATCGTGATGGGAGTTTTTGTTTTAGATCCTAAAGTTTAGGGTTGGAAATTGATACGATTTTCACAATTCCGAATCCCTTATGGATTCAGTCAAACGATTTGATTCTCTTATCGATTCTGTGAAACAATAAACTTGATAAGTGCACGGTGACATTCGTCTACCTTCGCCTGGGACATTCTATTTCTGCCTGCCTCGGCAAAAACAGAAGGCGGTGAACGGTAGCTGCCAGCCTCTGAGCCAGCCAGGCTACCCGTCTACTTGCAGCCATCTAAATCTAATGGAGAAGGCATCCGTTTAATGAAAAAGCATTACTGGACAATTTCAGGAAATAAACTGATCCCCCTGATTTAAATAAACGAGCATCGCCTTTCTCTCGCTCCCTGAACTATGCAAATTAGGTTTAATTTAATTAAAGTAGAGGTAGGAAACTGGTTTAATTTCCTAAATGGCATAAGATTTACTAGGAACCACTTTAAGCACAGCCAGTGATATAAAACTAGCTACTTACCACCATAGTTGCCTTCCATGCTGGTCGTAACTTTAGCTTCTGCCCGGAAGGCATCAAAAACATGGCATTCCTTAAAATGTATGCCATGTTGTGTGCGCAGGTGTTTCTGCATGTTGGATGTATATCCTCCCGCGGATATAATTGCCACTTTACATACCAACTTTCGATCAGTTTACCCGATGGGACGCATTTTTTAAATTTATTTGCTTTTCTAGACTTGGGCCTGGTCACGTCGTACTTGGTTACTGAAGGCTGTGTGCGTAACTTGCGTAAAAAAACGCGACATAACTTGCGTAGAAACGTGACGCAAGTCGTGCTGCCCAGCGCTAGGCTCTGGTGCTGCCTGGAACGGTTAAGCGAGCTGCCAAACGGTGTCATGGAATTGGAACACACAGAACCGGTTCTTAACAGGAACTGGTTTTTGATTCCTTCCTTACTCAAGTTGTGTTTGTGTTTTATCTATAAATTTATTTTTACAAAGTAGTTTGTGAAATCACAAAAATCAATGCTTGTATGCAAAAAGCACAGCTATGGTGGGATTTAGGTGACTGACTGGACCGGAACGGCGGCCAGGGACAGGGCGTTCAAACCTGAGCCGGTGACTGTCCCCCCCCCCCCCCCCCCCCCCCCCCCCCCCCCCCAAACTGCAGGCACCAGGATAATAAAAGCGAACATGTTTTGCTGGCAGATTTTGTCATTTTAAGTTAATTTAGGCGTTAATAAACTGTTTCATAGGAGTGATTATAGCGGTCTGCATCATCAGTGCTGCCTGTCTCCCTGCCAGCTCCGTGCGATGTGCCGCTTCAGCTGCTCTAGACACAGACAGCAGGCATGTTCATGTGTTTTTGAAGGCGTGGTTTCGGGGGTTGGTCTAAAGGGAGAGGCATTGTTGTGCATGTTCGGAAATATAGCTTGCTGGAACCGTTTTTCCAAGATCACCTACTGCACCTTTAAGTATTTCCATTTAGCATACCTCGGTTTCACAGTGCAGCGTTACACCCAGTCTTGAGCTAAACATGGGAGGAAAATACTCCTTTTTCAGCCATCATGCAACCTGTAGAATAAGCAGCTACAGGGAGCAACGGGGGGAGGTTTGGGATGCTACACCTGAAGGATCTAAGCACTTTCTCTCTGACAAGATTAAGATATTAAAATATACTGTAGGAACGGCTATACAGACAACTTTAGTGAGACTGAAATTGTGACTTTTTTCCTACAGTGGGATAGCGTGAAAAGGCTCACTCCTATATGCCTGTCTGGATTAGATAAGATTTCAATGGTCTCACTCTACATCTCTAATTTGAGTTTTGCAAGTCTTCTCAGTTGCAGCACCAAGACTCTTGAATCAACTCTCTGGATCCATGTTCAAACCCATTTTTAAATCAACCTAAAATCTAGGACTTCTCTTTTTCTATTCAATAGCACCTGTTTCTGAATTTTTTCCCCCCTTTAAATTATTTGAGTTCTTGAGTGTCAGGGCTCTTTTAGATTTTTTTTAGGTTTATCTTGTTTTAAAGCACTGTGCTGCACTTTAGCCAAATGGGCATCTTTTCATACAAGGGGTGACTTCATGATTAGATATGCTTCTTTAAATAAAAACTGTTAAGTCTCCATCTAATTTGATGAGCCACTTATTTCTATTTTTTCTTTGTGTTTTTGTCAGACTCTTCTTCTGCTGCTCCGCCCCCACCTCCTCAGCCCAGTTCATCTTCCTTCTGGTCGCCATCCCAGCCACCGCTTCCCAACAGCCCACCTCCACCCTCCAACGACCCCCCGCCCCCTCCTCTACCTCCAGAGTCACCACCACCCCCTCCCCCACCACCCGACAGCGATGGTGAGATCATGGAGGTGGAGATGGATGTGGATGATGAGGACGAGGAGCCCCCAGCTCCTGGAACGGAGGAGGATGGCAGCGGGAGGTCTGGCTCTGCCAACATGAAGGTGAAGGAGAAATCCGTTTAAATGATCAACTGATCTACATTTGATTTGTTGCTGACTGTTGCCCTATTCTTTCTCTGTGATACAGATTGTAGAGTCAACTGCTGCTTTTGGAAAAGGTCAGAAACGGAAAGCTGTTCAGGGGAATAAAAACGTTACTATTGGAAGCAGTCCCATTCTTTACACCCAGGCGCCTGTCACTGCAGGTAAACAAGGTTCTGAACATCCACCGACTAGAAACCCAAATATTTTCAATTTTTATTTTATAACTTATGATTTTATCTAATTTATAGTTATAGTGTAAATATTCCACTGTAATCATTTCAGAAGTTTGAGAACATTCTTAAAGGTTTTCTTTTGATTCTGCTTTAACCTAAAATTTGTCTTTTTCTGCAGCGCCTCTAATTCCAGCAGCCGCCTACTGGGGCATCCCTGCTGTGGCTGCCTCTCTGATCCCCTGTGAACCTCCAGCCCCTCCTGTTCCAGTGCTACCTCCTCAGCCACCGCTGCCTCCATCACAGCCAGCTTTTGAACCAGCTGCAACCAAAACTTTACCTGTTGAGAAAGTCAAGAAAGTGAAAAAGGATAAGGTAGGTTTTTTCCTGCATCCATATATTTATCCGTACCTTCTATCATGATTTTCTCCTCGTCCATTTTGCTTAAAGGGGGGGACAACCTATACATTATTTCCTTGACTGAAAATTTGTCAATTTCAAAATTGTAAAACTTGTATAGCCATCGGAATTATTTCTAAAAGCTTGTCACTTAGTTTTATTTGATTTCTTACTTTTTTCCATAGTCCAAGAAGAGTAAGACAAAGATGCCGTCACTGGTTAAGAAGTGGCAGAGCATCCAGAAGGAGCTGGATGAGGAAGAGAAGAGTAGCTCCAGCGATGAAGACCGAGATCTGCTCAACAAGAAAAGCATTGAGGAGTGGAAACAACAGCAGCTCATGACGTATGTTTCTCATTCTCAGCTGAAGTTCTAATTTGTTTTTCCTCTGCTGCTTACTTGATGTTAAAATATTTGTTTCAATTTCTAGGGGAAAAGCCTCAAAAAATGCCAACTTTGAAGCACTACCAGAGGACTGGAGGGACCGCTTGAAAAAACGGAAGCTGACGAACAGCACGTAGCGCCTTCCGGCTCCCTTCACGTTGTAAATCCGCTCCTACCTACACCATCGTCCCTCTGAAGAGATGGAGATTTGCTTACCGACCAGTGGACTTTCTTAGCTGTTCTATCTTCATATCAGACACATGTTAAAGTCCTTATATGGCAGGCCATTCTCATGAGGGACTATTTATTGTCCTGTTTTTCTTTTGTATGAGATCTGTAAATGTGCCAATTGTGCTCACATAATAAGTTCATTTTATACATACCCAGTTTGGATGTCAACCACAGTTTTAGGCAGAGTTGTCTACTTTTAGGAGTGTTTTTACATCTATGTATATAAAGGGGGAAGGAATGGGCCAGTGATGGAACGGGGAGGGATTGTCACTGGGCTTGTACATTTTGTAAAAAGTTATTAAAAGTTTTCAAAGCTAATGATGTTTACTTTTATATTTTTATATACAGAGGTGGGTAGTAAGTATTTACATACACTCAGTTACATTTACCTTTTAGAAAAAAAAAAAAACTTATTGAAGTAGTTGTATTATTATACACTTCACTTTTAGTGTTTTAGGGAGTGTTTGCCTAGTGGGTTGGAGAGGTGCGCTCGTGCTCTGAGAAGGTTGCAAGTACACGGATTGATCACCACAGCTGCCTCTCTGTGATCCTGAGCAAAAGCCTTTACCCCACAAGCTCCCCGGGTGCTGCACAACGGCATCCCACTGCTACCCAAAGAGATGGATTAAATGCAGATAGTGAATTCCCCATAATCTGAGCTATTTATGGACCAGGTGAAAAAATGGTAGAAATTGTCACTGCAGGTTCTTTCCTTTACTACCAATAACTACTGTAAACATTGGTTTTAGAAGTTTATGCAGGAAAAAAATGTTTTTTTCTGCAAAAATATTTGCATTTCTATACTTTGAAATACCAGAATTTGCTCATAACTTACATAATTTTAAACATTGAATTAGACAACTTTAGTTGTCATTTTGTATACACGGTGTATACAAAATTAGTACAGCTTTCAGACAGTAAATGAACATTTTCATTCCATAAAGTGCATTTCATTATATATAGTGCTATTATGCAGTGGTTTTGATTCAGATGTTATGAGCCAGTAATTGCTTAGTAAATGTGTAACCATTTGCAAAGTGTTGTTTTATTTTGGATGACTGCTTCCTTTTAACTGAGTAAAACATAATTATAGTGCTAGTCTTACTATTTTTTATGTGTTGTTGATCCACATCTGTTTACATATAAAGCCTGCTGTCAAAAAAATACTGTCGTCTAAAGAACTGGCCAAAAGTTTGGGTGCAACTATGCAATCAGGTTAAATAAGATATCGATGGTAATTCACACTTTATTTATGCCTGCAAAGTTAGAATTGAATAGAAAATCCCTTCATTGTCCCACAATGGGGAATAGATGAGAATAAGACAATTGTAACGCACAGCCTGATGTTTTGATCTAGGCAAGGTTTCACTCACTGACTTAAAGTCTTCAAAAAGCTGTGAAGATCTCCACATGCAGTTAATACAAACAAGCTACAGAAGAAAGGAGTAAAATGTTTAATAAACCTTGAGAAAGAGTCTGTCCTGTTATGGGAACTGTTGCTTTCTGTTCCAAACAATCCCTAATAGTAGAAAACACACTGTAGCCTTGCAGATGTGAGGTCTGAATGAAAAAAAATCTGAAAGTATATAAAATATAATCTGAACACCTTTTTATTTTCTAACTATTTGATAAAAGTGGAACTTTAATGGATTTTAAGATGTATTAACTGGCTCAATAGGGGAGCTTAGTTCTACAAGATTAATAAAAGTAAGTGAAATTTTTTTCCCCCAGTGTGTTAGAGGAAAGTCAGTGAGGTTTTAGTCTAATCTGATGGGATCTTTTTTTTCTTGGCGACTATTTAGGTAAAAACGGTTATTTTGGGGCTAACTGTGGTTTAAAACTCTTCTGGTGTAGGAAGGTCTTAAATACCATAGGTCTCCATGGCAAACACAGTGTTGTGGTACCTTGTTGCCTAGCAACGGCCAAACCCTGCTTTACCCATGGATTTTTAGTCACAAAGAAGTACGTGTCCGAAAATGACAGAGGTAAGTTTCACTTAAAACCGTTTCTGAATTAATCTGGAACCTTTGTTGAATTGATTTAATCAGGCTAAGAAAACGTTTGCTTTACAGAAAAAAAAAAAAAAACAAACAACCTGGAGAATCACTACTGATTCTTGGGTTACATTCATTAGACTAAATTGGCTTTCCAATCTCCAAATGTGTGCAGTAGGCTAAGAAGCTTCATCAAAATGATTAAATCATATGAACCTTTTTTATTTATGAATGTGGTTGGGTATTTTATCTTATTGTTTTTAAAAATTTACAAAAAGCAAAAAAGACTAGCTGTTAAACTGCCAATAACCGCCTTTTACAGAAAAAGGATGTTTTCAGTGTTTTTAAAAAGTGTTTCTTCCTATATAGTTCTAGTATATATTATTACCGTAATTACAGCTATAAACTTTATATTGCGGTGGGATTGCTAAACTATTTATAAAAAGACATCTTAAAATGTGTTGTACGTATGCTTTTAGTATTTCTAAATCACTACTTCTAAATCACTAAACATTGTTTAATTTTTCAATTATATTTCTTTATTTTTTTGCACATCCAGAGACTAAAATTACACAGATTCTTCTTTTTAAAACAGCTTTGATCAGTCTGCAGGAAGCGTGTCTGTGGGGACGTCCGATTTCACTCAGATCTGTTTTTTAAGCTTGGGTCTGACCTTTTGGGGTTTCTCGTTAAGATGTAAATATACTGTAATCTTACTAAATCTAGTATAGCTTTTGGAAATATGCTCAGTCAGAATTCAGAGCATCGTGCAGTGTTTCAGTCTACCATAATTTCAGTAACATCTTAGATATTCAACTGAAAAACACATCTGTGTTTGATTGCTTTCTGAAAAGAAATTTTCAAATTTTTCTGCTCTTCTTTGGGTGATGGAGACCATGGGATCTGCAAGAACTATCTTTCATCTAAAGCAGTGGTCTTCAATAGGGGGTCCGTGTCCCCTAAGTGTTCCACGGAGATACAGCATTGGGGTCGTGAAAGTTTTGGTTGATTATACTTTGTTTTATATTCCCCCTGCAATTTTTTCCACTAATTGAAATGTCTTTAAATACACATTAACATGAATTTAACACACTGTAGTAAACAGATAAATGGAGGCAGAAGATGTCTCTCAGTCATCAATACACACATTTAGCGACACACATGAGCTCTTTCAAGCTGGACACCTTTTCATTTACAACACCTGTCCCATCAACCAGAATCAGAAATTCTTTAATAATCCCAGGGTGAAATTACACCATCTGTAATAGAGTGACTACTGGACCTGTTTGATATAACACAATTTCATATAATATATATAATTAGGGGGTCCCTGCTCCATCTCGTCATCAGTTTGGGGGTCCTCGGCCTAGAAAACTTTGAAGAACCCTGATATAAAGCATTGATTCACAACAGGGGGGACTTGTACTCCTAGTGGTCCATGAGTGCATTGCAAGGGGTACATGAAAATATTTTATTACTCGGGTAGTAAAATAAAAGAAATGAAAAATAAAACAAGCCGATTTTAACCAAAAAGTACGTTATTGTATGTTTGAGTTCACCTTTAGCTGTGACACACATCAAAACCAAGCAGAGGAAAAGGCTGGATGTAACAGCCTGGGATCAGGTGTTTTTCCCACACCTGAGCTTAACAAGCCAAGCTCAGGTAATGGAGTCAGTCTAACTATAATATTTGATCAGTATTTGTTCTAATTTTCCCAATTCCTCAAGTTTAAATGTGATTATATTGGAGTTACTCAGAGGAGCTCCAGTTTTATAAATACAGGTTTATAATGTGATTTTATTTTGTATTTATTTTGATTCCTTACTAACTTTGAGGCAACATATTTATGCTGTTTTTTTATATATAAGTTTGAAAAAATAAAATGCCAAAGAATTAAATACTAAACTTAAAAAGATTAAATGAAATACTCTTTATTTTCTAATTGGTTTTTGTATGTTCCACTTTGGACAGTACTCACGTTAAGACAAAATTCACAAAGGGGTACACTAGTCAAAAATAGTTGGGAAACACTGATCTACTACAATACAGGTGGGAGAGATTTTTACCCTTACAGATTTTACTTATTTTTTTACAACGTGAAATATTTCACACAACAAAAAACATCTAGTACATAAGATCTTGAAATGGAATTACTAGTATCAGGCTATTTATCACGCAAGAGTGATGTACATTTGGCAGGGAATCATTTCAAAATAAGCAAAAAAATGCCTGCATATAGGTTGTAAAACACTTAATAGTTTGTCTCGTTACCTGCACTCAAAGGCAAAGGAAGTCATAATTTAGAGATGTATAGAGTGTTGAGAGTATCAGTAGTGTGCAGTTCAGTCAATTAAGCCAATTTAAAACAAAACTGTTGGCTCTTGATAAACAGACTAAAGCAACAAATCATTGAAATTTCATGTCTGCTCTTAGACAGTGAAAACATCAGACCCTGTTGCAAAGGTTTTCGAGAGTTTCTTGAATACCTACAAGAATCTGGATGCTGGTGACTCCAACTCAGAGGAAGATGAGGAGAAGTTAGCAAGGAAGAGGCAATGTAAGCAATTGATCTTCACATTTATATTAGGTATATACTGTGCTATTTGTATGAGAAATGTTATAAAATGAAAAAGTAGAGAGAAAGTAACCGAGTCAAGTTACTAACCAGTTAAGTGGTTATATCACAGCATTTTGGAGAAAGAGCAGCGTTTTAGTTGTGGTTCGTGTTCCTGCAGTATGCAACGATCTGAGTCAGAGCCTAGGGACCAGGCAGCTGCTCTTCAGCTTAGACAGTGGACAGCCGCTTTTGGTTCTAAGGCCACCACCGGATGTGGTTAACTTCCTCCGTCCCCGATGGCCAGTAGAGAGTGAAGTCATCACTGACGTCATCCAGCACATAGGTAAAGCTTTCACTCTGTTTGACCTTCTACCACTCTGTTAGCGGATTACCTGTACGAGAGTTTATGTTTTGTTTTTAGATTGGGAACCTCCAGAGCCAGAGCCATTTTATTGTCCCTCAGGACAGGAAGAGGCCCCCATCCCAGTGGGAGACAAACAAGGAAATGTGGTGTACTGTGCTGACCTTGGTAACTATGGCTTTGATATGACACCTTAATGTAAACATACAGATAGAAGAGATATTTACAAATCTATTAAATAAGACATCACATTTAATGCAAGAATAATTAGAAAGCATTTTCACAACTATCCATAACTGGATAACTTACTTTATATTTTCATAATTGATTATTCTAACTTTACATGAAATCCCAGATGATGATGTCATGGCTTTATACACTTCAGTTTCTATTTGTTTACATCTGAGTTAAATGGAGCAACACCTGTGGATGTGTTAAATATTTCCCTCAGATTTTATTTGGGGAATTCATTATTCAAATAGAAATAATGTTGGTAATTCCAACTGATCTAGAACAGGAAGAGTTTAGATGAATTAAATAATCAGAAAATGAGGACAAACAGGATGTTTCTGTATTTAGATATTGGATGTAAACCCTTTGTCTAAACTGTAAAGGCTCCATAAGACCCAAGAGCCAAACACAGCCCTACAATTACTTTTAAACCTTTAATGTCCTCAATGCAACACAAAACAACAGAATAAACAGAAGGATATCAGTGACTGTAATAGTGAATGTGAAAACATGCTCTGTGGAACCAAGTAGAGATCAGATTATTGCTAGTTAGTAACAGTTTCTTTATACTTTATACTAACTCTACTAAAGAAATAGGGACCACACATCTTTGCATTCTCACACTACAGTATTTTTGCACCATAAACATTTCCCCCCCATTTTTCACTTTACAGTTACAAACATTACTATACTTCATTCAGAGTCTATGTGCATCTGTTAGAAAGCAAAATTGTGGTTTAATGTGAGAAAATATAGGAAAGTTAAAGAAGCATAGAGGCACTTTAGCAAAAGGTAAAAAAATTTTTTTTAGTTTATTTTATTGAAAACCATACTTCATAAATCTGTGTTTTTAAAAAATACGTTTTTCTTCTTTATTTAAGCCACAAAGTGTCCGTACTTTACCTGTTCTCGTTTTGGAGGAAGCATGGCGACTAGGAGTCCCACCTCCCTTATCAAACCATCAGATAACATCCTCGAGTTTGAATCTCGCTTTGAAAGTGGGAACCTTCAAAAAGCTGTCCAAGTGTGAGTCTCTTTAGCCTAATCCTAATTTGTCTTTTTCTCCTTGGCAGTTTTTATGGTTATGACTACAATTCAACATTTGATTCAGGTTTTTCTTGCTTTTTCAGGGGCGTCTACGACTATGAACTCACCCTGCGTGCAGACATGTACACTGAGAAGCACACGCAGTGGTTTTACTTCAGGGTTAGGAACATGAAGGCTGGAGTGACGTACCGCTTCACCATCATCAACCTGATGAAGAAGAGCAGTCTGTATTCCCAAGGCATGAGGCCTCTCCTGTACTCTGAGAGAGCGGCTGATGAGGATGGGATTGGATGGCAGCGTGTCGGGTCCAATATCCGTTACTATCATAACTGCACTCAGGTAGCATCCAGATCTGCTTTAGTTAATTTGCCAGTAGATTTTTTTAGGGTAATTTTTGCTGTTATTTCAGGATAACAAAATAAGTTGACGTGTTCCCTGGGCTTCATGATGTTCAATGATGTACCCAAACAAACCCCCTGAGTACAGATTTACCTTTAGTGTGATTGAATCACATATTCAAAGGCTTCCTTAACCACAATTAAAAAGTTTTATTTGAAAAACAATCTGGATTCCCTTGAAGGTACATGTTTCATTACCAACCTTTACTTTCAAAGCAGATTGAAGTCATACAGCAGGCACACAAGGTAGAAAATCTCTGTGAGTCTAAAACAGATTATTTTCTTCAGTGATATAGTTTACTGGAATTAAAAGTACCATTTTTAAAACTATTTAAAGTATAAAAGTTAAAGTAAGGCAGGAAAAAATGTTAAGGACAGCTGCTTTACTGCGCTACCATATTAAAGGAAAATTTTTCTTCAATTCTGGATGATAACTTCCTTATTCTTAATCGTGTTGGTTTTATAACTAATGGCAACAGAGCCAAATTTAACTTAGTTAAATTTTAGTATGTGGCAAGCAACAAGTTGGTGCAGGACCGAGCCCAATCACAAAGAAATGGATTGTCTGGATTCAGCAAATTAGTTTGATAGTTTTTATTTTCTTGGGATACCAACAGGCCATAATGAGAATGAGCTCAAATTAAAGAAAAATAGCATGTCTATTCTTAAAAGGTAAGGAGTAGAAAGTAGAGATAATTGAAAAGAAATCACTTAGAGTTGTCTTCTTCAGGACACCAGTTACATAAAGAAGTGTGATATATACATTAAGCATCTTTTAGTAGCTGCATTTAATCACATTTATTAATCCCCCAATGAAAACAATTGAATTGAAAAAAGGAAAAATGGTAGGATTAAAGGTTGAGATATGTCGCCCAGTTTCTGGAGTTTTTTAATCATCATCAAGTGTAATTCATCGTTTAGATGATATATCAACATTCTTAATATGACTAGAACCCCCCCCACCTGGAATATAATAAAGACTATCATGACGCCAGATATCAGCTCGGTTCCTGTAGATTGCATTTGCTCAGCTCATGTTCCTGCAGCTGTGGTCGCTGTGGACCTGGTGGTTGTGAGCGGCCATCATTTCTGGCTGCTCCATCCAGCTTTCTCTGTGCCTTCTCATCAGAAAAGTCTTAACCTCTTCTTTAGAAATGAAAAGTCTGACTCTTGTAAGGGATTTGCTCAAGTGACGCAACTCAGTGCAGCGCTCCCAACTTTATCAGTGACCTACAGGTTTTCCGGCATCATGGATTTGACGGGTGCTGCTAGAGGGTCGAGTTCCAGATTAACAGCTTTACAAAAGGAATTTTAAGCAGCAAGTCTTATAAGACAGAAAGGAAAACGATACTTCCTGATGTTTTTAAAGAATCTTTTATATGTTTGGTTTTGTGTTTGTGTAGAACACAAAGGAGAAGAGCGACGCTGCCATCAATCTTTACTCGCTCACCTGGACTTTCCAGTTCCCCTATGACTCAGACACATGCTACCTGGCCCACTGCTACCCCTACACGTATTCCCGCCTGCAGGGCTACCTCAAGCAGATATCCTCCAATCCAGCTGTAGCATCATACTGTAAAGTGCGCATCCTGTGCAATAGCCTCGCAGGGAACGCTGTGTACGTTATCACAATAACATCTAGAGGAACCAGCCGGGAGGATGTGAGAAGCAGGAAGGCTGTGGTGGTGACAGCACGGGTCCATCCGGGAGAAACCAACGCATCCTGGATGATGGAGGGGTTTTTAGACTTTCTGCTTGGAGACTCAGAGGATGCACAAGTTCTCAGGGATAACTTTGTTTTCAAGGTAGCCACATTGACTGATGTACTTGTCACTAAACGACACAGATGTTCCTCTGTCCTAGTCTGTGTTTTTCTGTGTTAAATGCAGGTTGTACCGATGTTGAACCCTGATGGTGTCGTGGTGGGAAACTACAGGTGTTCCCTGGCAGGCAGAGACCTCAACAGAAACTATAAGACGCTGCTCAAAGATTCCTTTCCTTGTGTTTGGCACACCAGGGATATGGTCGAAAGGTGACATGATATAAAAGAAATGAAACTATAATTTATCATGGGAACTTAAAGAGGAACATAGAGGCTAGCATTCAGACATTAATACTGTTTCTTTCTGAGAAAGTGTGTTGGAGAATATTGTGAAAAATATTTAAATGTACTTCATCTTCCATTATGGCATTATTGGTAATTTAAAATCCATATCTTTTAACATTAAATTCATGTTGTGATCCTTATTTTTTATTTTTGCAATTTGATCATAGAAACTGGCACAGTTTTTCACATTGTAAATTTTCAGCTATAGGGGTATGTTATTTCTTTTTCATACATTTGGGCCCAATATGTGGGAAATATTCTCTAAACAGTTTTTTTTTTTGCCTTGCTGCACTTTCTGTAGACTGATGACTGAAAAAGAAGTAGTTCTTTACTGTGATTTCCACGGTCACAACCGCAAAAACAACGTGTTCATGTATGGATGCAACAGTCGAGGCAATGCTTCCATCAAGCTGCAGGAGAGGGTCTTTCCACTAATGATGAGCAAGAATGCGAGCAATAAGGTGAACCTCTAAATATTTCTGCAGACATACATCTTTCTAGAATTCATCTGATGTTTAAAGTGTCAACAACTAAATCATTCTGCCTCTTAGTTCTCCTTCCAGAGCTGTAAGTTCCGGGTGCAGAAGAGTAAGGAGGGAACAGGGCGGATCGTCATGTGGAGACTGGGCATCAAAAACAGCTACACCATGGAGGCTACCTTTGGCGGCTCCACTCTGAGTAAATCTGGCTTGGAGTTCATAAAGTTATGAATGTGGACTTATTACGCCTTGTTCTGCAGTGTTGTCTGTTTTTACTTTAGATGACAGAAGAGGGACCCATTTTACTACTGGGGACTTGAAGTCAATGGGCTTTTGCCTCTGTGACACCCTGCTGGACTTCTGTGACCCTGATCAAACTAAGGCAAGAGATAAAGCAAAATAAGACCATGTGCATGACTCACATGTTCTCGCAGCTCCGCCCTCACAGCTCCACCTTTACAGCTCCGCACTCACAGCTCCGCTCTCATAGTCTTCTCTCACAGCTCCACAGCTAAAGCTGACTATTATCTTCTCCATTATAAACTGGCACATTATTTTTTTAGGTTCATGAAACAATATTGGACCATGCAAAATACAGATATGCCTTCAAAGAGCCTCAGAAGAGCAAGATTTATGTACAAAAAGTACACATGTACATGAAATGTTTTGTTTTTATAAAATGTTTTTATAATGTTTTTGTTGTTGTTGGCATTCATATAAATATATAGACTTAGAGTTTTAGATTTATTTAGTAATTTTGTGTAAAAGTGTAAACAAAAAGAATATTTTTTTAGAACAGCTCTCTAGACAATTTAATTTTTTAAAGTGCAGCCCTGATAAGGTAAGTGCAGTGATGTCAGACTGATCTGGATAGGATCTTAGCATCCAAATGGGATTTTTACCATGCTGGAAGAGGATCTGATGCTGGAGCATTAGGGGCCTGTTGCCTGGGCTTCACCTCATCAGTTGCCTCCAGCTCCTGAAGCACTCAATTCTCTTGGCTTAGGGGAGGACTGGTAATGGTAATTGGACTAATGGTGTGATAACTTAGTATATGTTTGATTGGTTTTAATTAAACGTCTACCGGTATTTTGAATTTATAACCCCTGGAGAAAACTCCACCAGCCGCCACTGATTACAACTATATCCTCAATATTTTATAGTGTGAAGTCAAGCTCTCATTTTTTTAAAAATTTTAATTAATTTTTGAATAGCATTTTTAATTCCAATGCATACATGAAATTTAGGAACGTAATAAGACCAAATGTGTCAAAATTGGAGGGGTATAAATATTAGATCAACAGCCAACATGTATAATAACTTTCTTTGCTGTTTATTTTAGGTGGCATACTGTCTAACAGATGCATCGGCCTTAATGAGAAAGGATGTTAAGAGGAAAATGAACAAGGATTCTGTCACAGACAGTAACTGCTATATGTCAGAACTGGAAACTAGGTAAACACATTTGTTGCATCACAGGAAAGCCATGTGGAAATGTCTTTTTCAAATTGTTTTTTCATTGCTTTTACAGCACAAGTGGCTCAAATAGTTCAGATTCTGACGGACTTCCTGTTCACTTGCTGCACCCGCAAAAAGGTTTAGAGGTATTGCTGGCTAATTCTATTTATTTGAATTGATCTCTCATTAGTTCTTAAAGCTCTGAGCAACTGCAAACATAATGCATAATTATTTGAATTATATGTTATTCAGAATAAAAAAACTACTGTTGAGAAGAAAAAGAAAAAATTAATAAGTCGTAGGGAAAGACAGAGATTCCATCCGGACCGAATGAGGAGTAACAAACCGGCAAAGGTTGTGGAGAGCAGCAGCAGTAATAAAGTAAGATTGCATGGCTCCATAGTCTTTTAACAGGTTAATATGTTGATTGCTTCAATGGAGAGTGATGAGTCAGCTTTTTTTGCAGGACTCTGGTGTGTCTCATCAAAAAACAGATCCAGAGAAAAAAAAAGAGAACACTGTTGGAGGACAGAAGAGGAGATGGCGGGTATGTGCTGTAGGATATAAATGTGTGTGACCTTTTTAAAGCTAGAAGCTGATTGTTGTTTTGTTTTTGTCTTAAAGCCAAAAGGTCTGAGGAGGAAATCTGAAATCACATCTCCAACCACTCATGCTGAGGAGGTAAGCCAGGTAATGCTCCGGCACTGACGTCTAGCACTCGATTACCTTCCATTCTTTTTGACACTGCTGAACGTACTGAAGGAATTTAGACTTTTGCATTGTTTTAAAGGATTTATTGTCTTTTAGGGGAACTGTCAGGAAAACCTGTGCACATCGTGCAATCACCACGGGTTAGAGGACGTCCCAAGTACGTTAACCTCTGTGTCACCTCCATCAGGTACTGCTGCTCTGAAGACCTCAGATGGAACTAGTCTTTCAGAACAGTAGACAATCTAAGAGTTTTCCATATGTCTGACATGTTTGTAGGCGATGAAGTGATGAAGAGAAGACAGACGAGCTGCAGCTGTCAGCTTCTCACTCTGAGCCTTCCTCCTTCAAATCTGATGCAGATCAAACAATACAGCTGTCCACCATCTTTGTCTTCCTATCAAGGCTGTAAAGGTTTGCGTGCTTGTTTAAACATTTCTAGGAGAGCTCTGGTTTGCTTTCAGTGTAAATATGTGGGAGTAAAAAGTTTTGGTTTTCTTACAGGTTTATCAAATTTCTTTATGGCTTCGTGCAGGTAAGCTTGACAGAGGAATTGTGTCCTTAGGAGGTCAACATTTGATGTCTAATCTGTTCACTTTTTGGGGTTTGTGTCTGCTCTCTGCCAGGGTTTCTCCTTCTGCATTTGACAGGACAGGTCCAGGCGTCGCTCCATCCACAGCCGTTATCAGCAACAGAAGTTTACAGAAGGTCTCAAATGACTTTTTATCCATCGGTGCCACTAAATCGCTCACAGGCATGACCAAAACAACACAGTGGAGCAGAGGTCGAAAGGATTCATGAAAAGGGTCATCAGGACAATCGTTCTTTACCGTGCCTGCAAAATTTGTTAGACCCACTGATAAATAAAAAGCTTTATTGCAGCTGCATAAATTCATCTTGATTTTGACCAGTTTAGAAAAGTCCTATTTTTACATTTTTTTCAGAAGACATTTATAAAACAAAATCCAAACAGGCATAATATGTATTTAATTTACACCTCCTAGGTTAAAGGAACATATCATTTTCAGCGAATATATCATCATTACCATCTCATGAGCAGAAGAAAAAAAAAACTCACACAGCTATGACATCCCCTTGAGAGAAAATTGGATATTTGACATTTTATTTGAGCCTTAATGGAAGCAAAGGGAAATAAGATTAATCTTTGGGGAATCTCTTCAATATGTCTTCAATCAACAAAATAAAACCTCCATTTGCAGGTGATGTGGAATATGTTAATACATCCTTTTTATGTCACTTTTTTTTCCCCCTGGAAATACAACTAATATTGGTTTCATCCATAATTCATTCTATTTTTAATTTTTCAAAGATTCTGATAATACCGATTCTGGCAAAAACATGGAATTAATTTAGTAGGTGGGGATAACTCATTAAAAGGTATATAACAAAAAAACACCATCACTTGAGAGAAATACAAAAATAAATATTTTATTCAAATATCAACGATAAGAAAATATTTTTCATATGATACATATAAAGTCCCTTTTTAAAGTCATTACTTTTGGATGATGTACAGAAAGGTTGTATCCTTGTGAGCCATGGCACTCTAGAAGGTGATGTATGTGGACATCGGATGCTCCAAAATCAGTCAAACTGGTGGATGTGAAACTGGCTTCCTGTGTGTCTAACCATGCCGCGCAGGGCTGAAAAACCTGAGACGGCCTGGATCATCCAAGAAGAAAGAAGCCCACCAGATCTCATTTAGTAACAGTCTTACACGATAAGACACATTTTGACATCAAAAGTAGGGATTTTGTGACTAAAGTTTTGGTAAGAGGTACCTGTATTAGAATGAATATGGTGAGCACTATGTGGACACCCCTCTCCAAGGGCTGGATGAGAATGGCTTCATTGAGCAGCTGGAAAAGAATGAGCGGAAACTGCAAAAGGATGGTGAGCAGCCAAAAGCCTGCAAGCTCTGGGACCTTTAAAAACAAAAAATAAATACATAGGTATAAACATCACAATTTTAATGGCAAACTTATCAACTAGGTTCTTGTTGGTCATCTAAGCAATGTCTTACCTTTTCTTGCAGGTTCCCAACATAACCAAGATAAAGTCTAATGGCCTCAATCAGAGTCATCAGGAGCAGAATAGTGACAAGGATAAACTTGTAGTAGTCTGGCAATGCAGGATACTGATCGAAGTGACAAACACAAAAGCATTAAAACATTTTTTTACTTTGTATTTTGGTTTAACAAAAAGCAGTGCTTTTTCAAAGGCATATTAGTCAAATAAACAATCAGTTTTAAAACATATAATTACTGTTGCTGAATTACTAAGCTAATACATAGTAGCATATATTTAATTTTAACAGAAACAGAGATTTTACTTATACTTGGCGTTGATAACATGCTGCACACTTTTAAAGGTATTTTAGATGTATATGTTAATTATAATCCTAATATTAATCCATAATATAATTTTTTGTATTGCCATATACCAGTTTGGATTATTTGTCTTGTTCACTGATCTCAGCTAATATCTTCTCACCTTGAGCTCCAGCATTACAGCTTCACAGATCCACCACCAAGGGAAGAACCACATGTTAAAATATAACGACATCTGCAGTGGGAGGCTGGAGAGAACCCGTTTGTCTGAAAACAGTTTTAAAAAAAAAAAGCAGCAATTTAACCCCAATAACACGCGTTCAATGTGTCTATTTGATATACATTACACGTAAACAAAAAAGATACACAAAGCATGCAGAATACAGGAATGCTAGCATCTTTGCTAGCTCGTCTCGCGCTTCTGTTTACCGTGAGGCAAAAATCCCTCGTTTCCTTTGGACAACTCGGTCAAAAAAGAACTCTGGTCAAATAAAATATTGCGAGAAAAGTTATCTAAGCGTTTTCTAATCGTCCGAGGGAGCTCCATCGTCAGTCTAAAGTCAACGAAACAAGAGAGGGGTGGGAACACACTCCGCCTCTTCCTGAAAAAAGCAGCCCAGTGGAAGCTCCCGTCGTTTCCATGGTTACCAATGCTACAAGGGAAAAGTGAAAGGAGGTTGGTCAGGAGATAAGTTGGGGTCATAAAGTTAAATGAAAGTCATTTTTGTTTTTAATTTAAAAATATTTTAAACCGAAAAACATTTTTTAAACAAAAAAGAAAATATTGAAACTGATAATAATAAGAAAAAAGAAAAGAGAACTTTTAACAAAATTTAAAACTGAAATAAAATGCAGGTGTTTATACATCCATGTTATACATAGAATTTTTAAATAAAAAGATCTAACGTTTTTCCATTTTTTCCATTTCAAAATCTAAATTGTTTTTGAAGAAGAGAACAACAATCGTTCAGTTCGGTATATAGACAATTTCCTGAGTCACTTTTTTTTTTAACAAAACGACTGAACTGACAGTATCTTTCTTTCTTTCTTTCTTTCTTTCTTTCTTCTGGCTTAATGAGAGAGGTGGGCTTTAGGCTGCCCTGCAAGGCTTTAAATTTGGGTTGGAATGGCGACAAAGCCATACTCAAGCACATATAAAGGTGCTCATTTTGAGCCTGGATCGATATTTATTTTTGTTTATGTTCATGCTTCACAGCAGAAGGTTTGGCCAAACATACTCAAAATGTGCAGGGTTATCTTTGAGCACAACATTTCACTTTTCTGTCACCAGTTCACTGCACTTTTTTCCAGCACTTCACAATTTCTTTTTCTTTTTTCTCATCATCTTCTCCTTCTTTCCCATCACCCAGCTTGCCACAGGTTTGCCTGCTCTGTCTAAAAGCTTGCAGCAGCAACCCAGACTGACAGGTCATTGGTTAATTTGTATCACATGCAGCCTGGTCCCGGACACTCTGGAGGGCTTTACCATGTTAACAGGAGAAGCGGTGCAAGTGAAATTAGACACTGTCGTCTGACAACTTGCTGTAATTTATAAAAGCTTTAAATCAGTTTGGATCCAGATTAGCCAGCAGGTGGGTCCGGATCCGGACCGCGGTCCGCTAATCTGTGATCTCTGGTGTAGGGTACAGAGATGGGGACTCGAGTTTGTGACTCGTACTCGAGTCGCACTTAAGTCGCATATTTAATGACTTCAGACTCGACTTAGACTTGCATTTAAAGGACTTCAGACTCGACTGAGACTCGTGATTTCCGACTTGTGAACAATATTTTATTCCAGTGTAAAAACACTTATTCAAGTGTTTTTTGTTTTACTAACTTGACTGATCGCCGCTCGCCTTACCCGCACACAGAAGAGGTAAAAAAAAAAAAAACCCAAACCGTGAAGCACTCAAGTTCAAGTGTTTTATTTATACAAAAAGCCACAGCAAAAGTGGCATAATAAAACAGTCCTTTTCTTCTCCTGATAAAACCTAAAATTCAAGAGTTTTCCTTAAAAATCAGAGGCTGGAAGTTGGGCTCCGCTTGTTATGCTGCTTCTGGTGCGAGTGATCGGCCTGGAGCACCCACTGGCTGATCCACAGACTCTGCGGCGCTCCAGCACTGTTCCACTCCCTGGCGTGCCAAACCCCTTTCCAGACCGATCCAGCTAAAAAGAGAAGCAAGGAGAACGCCAGCATCCACGCGCCAAAACCCTGTCGGAAGATATATGCCTGTTTATGCTTTAAGCGAGGGGGAGCGCTACTTACAGGCGAGGTTCCTCCTCTGCCCTAATACTCCTTACTGGGCCATTAGTGCGCCCTCCTGGCGCACGGATACCAACTGCATCTCCCCTGGCAGCGCGTCCGTCTTTGTCACCTGCAGATTCCGTTCTCTTTCTCCTTTCCTTCAGACTCCTTTTATGTCGGCTTTAATCAGCCCTTGCTCACACCTGAGCGCAGCATTACGCAGCGCAATTAATGCACTCCGCCTCCTCAGACAACTACTTCAGTCCAGTGCGCATGGATTGTCACAAGGGAAAAACAAACCAAAACAACCCAACATGCAGGAAAAATTCAAAAGTCTAAAATAAAGGAAAACAATCATATAAAAAAGAAACATCAAAACATGCAAAGCTCAAGAAGAAAATACAAAGAAAAACAAATCATATCTTCCTCTCCAAACATGCAAAGCATACAACTAACATTTAAATGAAAGAAAACCATAAACCATATTTTTCCCTGTGCAACACACTGATGTCACTGACGCAACAGTACGTGGACGGCAGGATTGTGATTGTTTTTTTCCCCCACAGTCCTCATTTTCAATAAAAGAGCAGACATGTATTGCTAAAACTAAAAAAAGTTGTAACCACAAATGTCAGGTAAATACTGTAAGAAAATGCAAAATTTATCTGGAAAAAAATTTTGCGTGTGCTTTTTTTAATTGTATTTTTCATTTAGCAGTTCAAGATAATGATAATTCCATAGATATAATAGCGACCTTTAAGCTATACCGTCTCAGTGGAGATGAAAACACAAGGAGAAACAAGCAAGTATGAAAATTATTGCACTTTTTTAAATGAATCAAGTGATTAGAATTTTTTGTGCGATTAATTGATTATTGCGACAGGCCTTTTTAAGACTTGAGACTTGACTTGGACTTGAGCTCTCAAGACTTGAGACTTGACTTGGACTTGAGCTCTCAAGACTTGAGACTTGACTTGGACTTGCAAAAAATGACTTGTGAACATGTCTGGTAGGGTATAAACATGAATGGCACAGCCTCTTCCCTACAATGGAAATGGAAATGTTGCTATGGCAACACAATGATGCCGCATGTGGATGGATGTAGCTCTGAAGGTTGACATAATATTGAACATTTGCCATTTTCTTAAAAATAAATCTAACCAATTAAATAAAAATATTTCAAGATGACATTCCATTTAGGTATCAATGACATATTTTTGTTTTTCCAAACTTGTAATTTCGTGTCAGTGTGATGGAGATGCAGCAAACCAATGGGACTTATAT